ATACATAATGAAATAGTCAAGGCATGCTGTGAAAGTTTAACAAGTCATAAACAGCAATTATGTAATTTGACTTTAGGCTTCTGATTGCACCTATGATTAAAAAATCCCTGTTTTGATAGTGCATATCCTGAAATTCCTCTTCAAAAGTGCATTTGCATATCCAAATCTTTGCTAGACATTTATGCCCCATTGATTCTACTAGCTCAAGAAATAGTAATCATTATGACTTTGTTCTGTTTGTACAGATCTGAAGAGGAATGACTACACACCTGACAAGATCATATTTCCTCAGGACGATGCCCCTGAACTGACAATTCAGCCTGGAAGCTGCACCAAAGATTCTGATCCGGCCAATTCCATCCGTCTGATGCTCTGATGATGTGACCAACTCAGTGGCTTCGCTCAAACTTCCTGGAACCTCACCAAGTTGTCACTTACCTTTCCCTCACTATAATGAAAAGAAAGACTTGTCAAAACAAGGATTACTGTATCATAAGTGGAATTTTGGCTGGTCCATAATCTAAGGATTTTACCTTGTGATAACCATCTACAGAGCAGCTTGGCAGCTGATCCTTCTAAAGGTGGAATAATGACAAGTATTTAAGATGTGTTTTTAAAGGGGCTTTTTAAGCAGAAAGTTTTATTTTTTATTTTATTTTGGTTTAGTGGAGGATTTTCTTCCTGTAGTCCTGTGGTGGGAAATATGCCTTCCACCAAAAGGATTTTGGTAGTTGATGTTTTAAGGTAAAGCATTTGTCTTTTTGGCATTTGTCTTACTGTCAATGAGCAAAACCAGGAGAAAGCACCTACCTCTGTAAAGCCAGAGTATTCTTAGAGTGTTTTCGGAAGTGTTCCACTAATATTTTCTCACCAGGTGTCTTTTAATCTGACCTTTTGAAGAGGACAGAGCCAAATGAGGTGTATATAGGATGCCAATAGACTGAAGTTGAAGGTAGGAACGTGATCTGTTCCAAAAGAGAGAGAGTCTCCTGAATCAGGATTCTTTCAGCTTCATGACTGTACAACTGGGCTTGGTTGCTTTTGTTTTGTGAAATAGAGCCTGAATTGTGCATAATGAAATTTCTTGTTTTACACATTTCAATTTTATCAAGTCACTGTCAAATAGTAACAAAGCCATGATAGACTGGTATAATCATATTTAATAGAAGAATTAGTTTGTGCTGGTCCAAATAAGTTGCCTTGTAAGAACACAAGTTGGAAGTGCTTTCCCTTGTACGTACGTAGTGACTGCTTCAGAAGTTCTGCCTTCCAAAGATCTCCTAAAACCAGTGTATCAAAGCCGAATGTACACATAACTTGTAAATGTATTTAAAATTGTGTAGAAAACATCTTTAATGTTATGTTATTTGTGGTACTTACTTAAGAGAGACTAGGGTTGGATTACCATTGTGTAAAGTACGGGAGATTGCAATGCACCTTCATGCCAATAAAATGTAATTTAACTGTCCCAAATATTGTTGAGCATTCAGCAAGAAAAGAACCTGTTGTCCAACTGAAGTTTCATGCTGCGATTTTTTTTTTTTTGTTACATAGGTACTAATTTGTAATTTTTAATTAAAAGGGCAGTATATAGCTCTATAAATTTTTTATTCAGTAGTGTATCTTATAGATACAGACCTAAGGCACGAACACAATAGTTGTTTAAATGGTGTTTTATGTTTGATGGGGAAAGGTAAAATGTTATAAGGATATAATACTGTATACATTTTGTATATCATTAAATCTTTAAAGAATCTAAAATAAATTTATTCTTGTTTACAGACTTCTGCTCTCCGTCTCAGTCTGAAGGGTTATTTTGGTGAATTTAAGTAACTCTTTATGCAGAAAAGTAGAATTTGCCACGCTGGATCAAAGTAGCTCTTAGCCTTTGAGGTATCACAACTTGGGCCAACACCAGAAACTAGGGAGGTAAAAAAGTGAAAACTGTCATAGCTGCCAAACACATGTGAGGGGATTCATGAGTAAATCAGTCAAAAATAGCTCTTCACAATGTTTAATTCTTCTGACTGCATCACCTCCTGTTGCTGGGAGGGAATGGGCAGATACTCCAAATGTACGTGCGCCTTTCTAAAGTAACAGCAGCACTGAGTCTGTAAGCGTGACTGGCTCTGCAAATTGAGAGAGATTTCTAGAGGAGTCTCTGGTGTTTTGAAAATGTGACCAGATTTCAGTGTATGAAAGAAGAAAAACATTTTGAGAAAATTGCAAGTAAAACCTGGGAAACTTTGTTTCTTGACAAACACTTAACTACGCACAGTTATTTTGTAGCTGTGTTAACTGCTCTTCAGTAGTTCTGCTTGTGACTCATTTCTTAGCAAAATAAACAGATGTGACCACCTTGTGATGGGTGTGAGTGATTATGGGGAGTGCTCCTTCTGCTCAGTCTTGCAGTGACTCAGGCCTGAAGCTTTTTCAAGGCCAAAAGGGACAAAAGTGGTTGGGAAATGCCTGTAAGATTTGGAGTGGTTACCACTGTTCACATTTCTGTACATCTGCCTGGCATGAGCTGTAGCTTACTCTGTGTGATTTACAGCTTGAATTACATGAGAAGTGTTCGTCTAAACTGACTGAGAGGGGAGGAATGTGTAACTTCCAGAAGTGATCTGCCTCATACTTGCTGGGGAAAAAATCATAAATGTCAAGTACCCTTTAGGGAAGGAATTGGAAAACTGTGGTGGCAAAGGACAAAAACAAGTTGGTTTGAAAAAGAAGCCTGACTCTGTTTGAACAGTGCCACATCCTGCTGATGTTGGGCAGTAGGAACATGAAAACTATTCCATGGAATTCTATTTGTCTGAGAAGATCAAGTGTGGCACCTCTGCTGAAACCTCATCAATCTAAAAATGCTCTATAAATAGGGAAGTGTTGTGATCCTTTAGCTTATAAATTTTCTTTACCAAAAAGGAGGAAAGTGATGGAACTGGAACTTCTGATAACTATTCAAGAACAAAAGTATTGGCATATCTTCTTAGAACCTAGCTTTTAAATAGAGGGATATAATTCAAACCCTCTCTAATTATTTTTTAGTCAAAATCTGAAATGCTTTAGTGAATTTCCAACTAGGAGGGTATTTAAAAGGGTATTTTTCCTATAGAGAAATTTATATGCTTCATAATTTAGACTTTGGTGGATTAATTAAAAGTCATTTGTTGACTGCTTTCTTGCAGTATTTAGGTGGTGAAACATTTCAGAGAAAACCAATCCTAAATGCACTGTGGCAAAATATATACAACCAGCTCCTGGGGAACTGGTTTTTTAGCTGCTGCTCAGCAGCCTTGTGGTTTGGAAAAGGAGGGGTTTGGTTTTTATGCCTGACAGTGATTTCCTACATGTTAAATCTTTGTGGTTGCATTTCACTTAATGCCGTAACTCTTAACAGTGTAGGAATTTGGAGAGGGGAAAAATACTACAGCTGTAGATTTGGTAGTATCAGTTCATATTAAATGTTCCTAAAAGACCAGTTGGGAAAAAAATAGGACTTTTCAATATGTAACAAGGCCTCTGAAAAAAGTTCTGATGATTTAATATTTCTTGATTAAGACTTTTCCTTGCAATAATTTACTTTGTGGTGAGAGTGGTGGCAAAAGTTAATTCTCAGCTGCAGACCTTGCAGGTGGTGGCACCCATGTGGATTTGTGTATTGTGCTACATCAAAATAGTAAGTCAAAGTCTTGATTCAGATTGCACAAAATGTGGGAATAAACATATCCAGTTCCATTTACAAAACTGAACCAGATTTTGAGGGGTCAATAGCAGTGACACCTGTCCCAGGAGTGCTGGAGACATCCCTTGAAGTTTTACAAGATGATTAGGAGGTGTTTTACATCACTTCATGGGCCTCTTCTGTGGGTACTTGTTACATTCCAGGTTGTCTGTTACAAAGAGGGAAAAACTGCTGCTCTTCAGTGGCATATGGAATTTAGAGATGAACTGCATTAACATAGCTAATTAAAAGCCATCTGCCATACCTTTTTATCTTTCCTCAGGAAAATCCTCATAACACCAAGAAGCTAATTCATTATGATGTTTTGAGGTAGTTCCATCCCTTTATGATCAACACCCTTGGTCATCACTGCCCTTCCAGCAGAGCATGGCAATAATAAATCCTAATCCAAGTGAGCAAACACGGATAAAGGTGTTGGGCCAAAGTTCCCTGCTCAGTGGAATGGAGCTCTCTTCCCAAAGTTTTCTGTTCTGGCTGGCACAGAAGGACACAGAGGCAGGTCTGGCCAGGTGTGTTCCCTGGCCAGTGTTACCAGGTGACATCACAAGGCGCTGGGGCAGGAGATGCTGGGGTGACAGGATGGAACACGGGACTGAACACAGGGCACTGCTCGTGTTTTTTCTACGGAGATTGCTGCGGGTTTAGAGTTCTCTGCCCTGCCTCAGAATACAACATCAGCCTCTAAACAAGAACAGCAACATTGGTGAGCAGGTGTGGGTGGTGTAGATTCTGTGTTCAGCATCTCAACTGTCTGATTGGGGATGGGGACACTTTGGCCCAGGACAGACTTATGCAGCCAGAAAACAAAAGTACTAAAATTTTCCTAACATGAATTAAGTAACATTATATAGCAAAAATCTGAAGAACAACCTGCTTCTAGTAGCATCTGGACTGCAACCTATGGTTTTAGAAAACAGGTGAGTACTGTACCCAAGGAAATGAAATATAATGTAATATGCAGTATTAAGCATTTTGCCCTAAAAATGGCTATTCACAAGTGGTGGTAGTTTTTGAGTAATTGTGTATGGAGTAAAAGAGTGAATAGAATATTAGGAATAACTCTTAAAACCTTAGGTGTTTAAATAACACCTCATAATGATGCCTCTTACCATACTGGAAAGAGCTTAGTGGGGAAGATGAAGAGTCTTTGCCACTATAAACCTGGTGAAAATAAATGTGAACGTAATTTTTAAAGAAGAAACTGTAGCATTTTAGATTCCCACTGGTGTGGATTTTTCTCACAGTAGGTGGAAGGATGGCATGGAAATGGAAGTACTCCCCCAAGGAACAGCTGGAGGATATGAGCAGCCTGCACCCGGGGCTCACAGGGCTGCAGAACCTGGAGAACACGTGCTACATGAACGCGGTGCTGCAGTGCCTCTGCAGCCTCACCCCGCTCGTGCAGTATTTCCTCTCAGGGAAGTGGAACACAGCCCTGCACCAGTGAGTCGGTTTGTTCTCAGTGCTGAGGGCTCTCTGCTTGGCACTATTTTACTGCCAAAGGATATGTGCTGTCATGAGACTGTCCAAGGCACCTGCCAGCTTCCCCCAGGCAGTTCCAGTCAGATTGACCACCAGCTGGTTTCCTTCTCCTTTGAGAGCCCAGCCCTTTTCCTTGCTGGTCCTTCAGCATTTCTTCCCATATTGATGGTAATACCTGTTACTGTTGTCTTGATCATGATTCCTACCACTTTCTGGGATCTGCAGAGTCCCTCAAGCCAAGTGACAGCTGCCAAAGCTGTACTGTACCAGCATCTGTTTTCTCAGTTTCTGTATTGTGCTTCCATTTGAAGGCAGGCACTCTTTTTTCATCCATCACCTGAAACTCTCCCCTTTTTTCCAAGGGAGATCGGAGAGTCTGCGACTGCCTTTGGCTGTTTGGTGTCTGACATGTGGCTTGGAGAGTTTGACTTTGTTTCCCCTGAGGCTTTTCACTCCGTCTTTGGGAAGCGGCACCCAGCTTTTAGCAGCAAGACTCAGCATGATGCACAGGAGTTCCTCATCTGTGTGCTGGATGACCTCCATGAGGCTTTCAAGCAGGTGAGAGCCCAGCTGTGGTGTTTTGGGAACTACAGCTGTTTCCTCTGCATGACTTGGCATTCCATGTAATAATTGCCTATCATCCTCTTCTGAACTCTATGATGGGGCCACTAATAACTTTCCTTTTCTACCTTTATTTCAGACCCATGGACACACAATTATTAATTTGCTTCTTGTCTAATGCTCCATCAAATTGCAGCCCCATCTAAATGACAATGCTGGTGTAGCTTCACTGTCCTAACCTCTGCCTCTCCTTTCTCCTTCCACAGTTAACGTTCATCCACTTTCTCATCTGCCTGAAAACTTCACATCTGCCATGCACCCATGACTTTCTCCCCTCCAGAGCCACTGATAAAGAGCTTTTCAAGCAATTAATGCTATCAAATGTCTGACTTGTTGTATTTTTGTTACTTTTCTCTCAGAAAATGAATCAATCTTACTCTACATGTATGAACCATCAAGTAAAGTAACAGCATTTTAGAGCCATGTTCTGTGGCACGACTAACAACTGATCAACCCAGGGAGTGGGCAGCATGTACTGAAACTCAGTTGAAGGCACTTAACAAAACAATTGCTTATCTACATTTTGTCAATCTTTCTCCTTCTGTATAGCCAAGCCAAGAAAGACGGAGCGCTGCTGCAGGAGCAAGCACAAGGAGTAGCAGTGGCACATCTATTATAACACACTTATTTGAGGGACAGCTCAGTTATGCCATCAGGTGTCTGACATGCAAAGCCCTCAGTGACAAACCCGAGAGCTTCACCGTCCTCTCCCTGCCCATCCCCTCCACCAGAGTGTGCTCTCTGCAGGTACAACAGCCAGCACCTTCCTGCTGCTTTCTGCTTCAGCTGGGAGTAGAGCCTTAGACTAAAAGGTTTTATTGGAAAAATGCAGGGCTTGCTTTAGTTACTTTGGTCTCCTGAGCACTAATGGATATTCTTGGATCTGGTCCCTAGAGAAGTGGGGTGTCTTTACTGGTCTCAGAACCATGGAGGCTGGTAAGGTTATAAGACCAATGCTCAAGAGTTGCCAGGGGATGAAGGATATTAAGATTATTCAATAGCAGACGTGAAGGTTTTATTCCAATTATCCAAGTATTTCTGCCTTGGTGGGGAGAATGGAAGCCAATGCTGGCTGCTTTGTCTTGTGAATTTGTAATGTCAGCCTTGCTGCATCACACTTCAGTTAGGGGGAGCAAATTCATCTCTTATTGCTTAACACCTCTATGGGTGGAGGAAGATCTGTTCAGTCAAGTCATGATTGGATTTTTTTCCTTTGACAGGACTGCCTGGAATGCTTTTTTCAGCCAGACACACTGACTCGGAACAACCAAATCTACTGCCACTGGTGTGGAAGCAACCAAGATGCAACAGTAACAGCCTCCATAACCAAGGCACCACAGATCATAATTTTTCATCTAAAGAGGTATAGTCTAAGTGAGGTAGGACATGGCCAGCCCCTGGGCAATGTGAGTCATGAAGGACAGTCACTTGTGTTTGCCTGAATGGAAACAAATCACTGCAAATAAGTGGGTTTAGTACTTTAGATACCTGAAAGCTAAAAGGGCCTTTACAGAAATACACCTGTCAAACATGCAAGTTGCAGTCCTGAATTTCATGTACGGTGCTCTGTCCTGCAGCCCAGCAAATTTCTCCCCATACTTGGGATCCCCTCTCCAGAGGGAAGAGAACAGCACCAGGCAGTGACTGACTACAGCCCAGTGCAGGGGCTCATCCAGTCCCTGAATGATCCCTGTGAATCAATTCCTGTGCCTTGGGTTCCAAAAGCAGGACTGACAGTGGTCTGCTTGCTGCTGCTGCAGTTGAGACACTCTGCTTTTGTTTATCCCTTTACTAAATCAGTCCTAAAGAGAGTGGTGCCTCAGCAAAGGAGCACCTGGGTTAGCAGATTTCACTAGCCACACATAGCCAGGCGCTGAATTTATTCTAAAGAAATTTTTTTCTTAACAACTTTCCACCTATAAAGAAAACTACTCTGGGATGATTTGACTTCCCAGAACTATGTTATCTGAAGTTCTTTTTTAATTTTCCATTCAGCATCTGCTTTTCTCAACATTCTCAAAGGACGTGGTCCCCAGCTGCAGCTCTTGGCCACACTGTGAATGTTTAAAAGTGCAGTGATGTACTCAACGTTACAGAGGGAAGAGGGATGAAGTCTGGCATGAGAGAAGAGCTGACACTGGCACTGCAGTCCAGTCCAAAATGTTTAGGACACAGAGAGACTGATGGAAAGATATGACTTCAGGCTTTGACTGAAGGATCAGGAAGCAAGAGCTTTGCTTTTCTTGCTGGACATGTCATGAGGGTTTGGTGCATTTTTTGTGAGTTTACTACAATACAAAACATTACCAGAGATCTTTCTTTCAAATGCTGGGCAGTCAGTTGTTGGCTTTCCCTCCTCCCAGGAAAGTCAGTTAAGCAATGACCACAACACAAACAGAAGTTGAGGGTCATTTAAAATCGTCCAAAAATTCATTTCAGGTTTGCCTGGCAGGACAAGAACAGAAGGAAACTCTCAACCACTGTCTGCTATCCATTCAGCGATCTGGATCTCTCTCCCTACATCTCCACATCGTGTAACAACAATACAGAGTACAGCCTGTGTGCTGTAGTGGTAAGCTTTGCCCTTCCAGCTTTTATTGGGAATGCCCTGGCTCATGGAGCAGATGAAGTCTGTGTTGGTGTGGACTGAATGTATAATGAATTATAATTTAATGTATGTTTTGTTGTACGCTTTTTTCTACCAGCCATGGACGTAATCCAGTAACAGTATGTAACTGAAGGACAGAGACATTATTTCTCCTTCTTCCCCAACATCTCAATTTTAAAAGAATGCTCTCCTGGCACATAATGCCTCTTCGGAGTAAACTTGCAGGCTGATCCAGCATGAATCCTGGTTTTAAATAAGGCCATAGCTCACAACAATGGGGTCCTCTTGTAGTGTCCTGTATTAGGGCTAATAGTTGGATTGCAAATGTAATTGCAACATAAATAAGCATGATCATAATCCATTAACTCTGGTTGAATGAATTTATTTGAATTAACATTCCCTGTCCTAGGCCAAAAGGGGCTAGAACCCTCCGTGCCATCTTTTCCAAGTGCACACATGAAACCATTGCCAGTTCCTAGCTTTGCCTGAAAGGAGACAGAACAGGAGTCTGGTTTTAACAGACTGTGTTGTTTGTTACAGAACCATGCTGGAGATCTGGATTATGGCCACTACACGGCCTTCTGCAAGCACTCAATCACCCAGCACTGGTACAGCTTTGATGATGCACAGGTCACCAAGATCCCAGACTCTGCAGTGCAGGCTGACACAGCTTACCTCCTCTTCTACATCTCCCAAGGCTACTGACACCCTGTTAGTCTTGAAAAGGAACACTAGGTAGGGCAGCACCTAGAATTCACCAGCAGCATTAGCCAACTCCTGTTTCATCAATAAACTAGAGCATGTGCACCCTGATCAGCTGTTGTGGTCTTTCAGGAAGTGACTCCTAGAAAGGACAGTTACAGCCCTAAGCCATGAAGGAATGTGCATCTGCTCCATGTGCACAAGGGCCAGGGTTGTTTTCCATGACACCCTTCTTGCACCCCTCAAAACAACATGGATGTTGAGCACACGGATGCACTTACTTGGAAATTCTTGTTTTTCTGCTGGCTAAGTACAGTAGGTTGTTCTAAGCTGCCTTTCAGGAACTAACAGAAGGATACCAAAGTGAAAGCACACAACCAGACCAGACTGTGCTACAGAAGAGCGGATGGAGTCACCATTAATACAGAAGAAAGAAAAAGGCATTGCTCTACTGATGTCATTTTTGTTTCTCCAGCACTTTAAACTTGTTTGCAGCTTGCAAGCTTCTGGAAAACAATCAATATTGGTCTTAATTCCACCAGCAAGACAGACACAGACAGACAGGTAAAAGCTCAGAATGTAAGACTTTTGAATGCCAACCTTATCAGAAAAGGAAAACTAACCCTAATCCATAGTAGAGAAATATGTAAGATGCAACTAAAAGAAGTTTTTAAACTAATCAGCTCTATGCAAAACAGCATTTTTATCTGGAGAACCTTTAAACTGTGTGAGTATGAGTCAGACTGTTATTATGTACAATCTTGATCATTACATAACAGCTGAGAAAGAAAAACCAAACCCAAACATACATTTAACAGGATATATTTTTAAATAATTTCTTCATTAAGGTTTTTAATGCATGTGTACATGAAAATTTATATTAAAAAATTAAAAAGGAAAATCTTGTTTAGAATAACTCTGAAGTGCACAAATATTGACAAAAGCTAACAGAAAAAGTAATACAGCTCTGCTTTTTTATTAAGTAGTGTTGCAATTACTTAGAGCTGGCAAATAAATGCAATCCTCTGAGTTTTAGAGATTCTCACAAAAAGGACAACATTTTATTATATACATAATTCTGATGTGCAAGTATGCAATCAATATGTACACTTACATTCCTAACTGTTTACATCGTTCTAGAGTATTCACAGTAGAGTCAAGCTTAAGGTTAGAAATGTGAAAAGGCCATTAACAGTGAAAGAAAAAAATAAACCAAGATATGCCTTGGGATTTTAAGACATTTTAAACTACTTGTTAATAGATTTCAGATGACTAAGCTAGAATTTAATTTTGGAGCAGACTAAAAATATAGTTCTTTTTTAAATAAACAGTAATGCAAGTATGCTTGTAAATGGTTCCACAGATGGCAGTATGACCACAAGCACTGCCCATCAGTCTGATTGTGAAGCACTGCCACGGCCCCAGCGAGCCCTGCTGGCAGACACCCTGCTCCTCCCACTCCAGTGACTGTGTCTGCTGCACTTCTGCATATTTGTGTGCATTCCCAGGCCTACTCTGCTCTTGAAGAAAGAAAACCAGTTTCCTTAAGCCACATCCCTTTACGTGGCCATGTCTACTGCTCGCTGTTCATAGGAAGTATAAAAGAGAATGTAAGCAGCTGAGGACTTCACCGAGGACGCCGAGATCTCGGACACTTCGTGGTCATCAAACTTAAACCAGCGCTGTTTTGAAGCGTTTTTGCAGTAGGCTGTGTAGTGCCCCCCGTCCAGCCCACCGTAATGATTCTGTGAATGTAAGGCAAGGGTTAGTGGCCTTCAAAGCTGCCATTTCTTCCCTGCTTAGGGAAATAATCTAGAATGTGAAATTTTTACTAAATTGTTCTTTTTCAGAATGCAACTTAATCTGTAACTACAATGCAGCCTGGCTGAATCACACAGGCCACCCTGAGTCCTGGCATAAAGTGCAGCTGGAGTTTGAAATGTGACTGGTTACTCACCGATACTGAGAACAGATTGTATCTCTTCAAGGAAGTCTTTGGACCAATAACATACTGAGAGAGGTCAAGAGTTTCCAGGGGAAAATCTACTGAAGTTTGAAGCTTTTGTTTCCATCTTCCATCATAGGAAAATCTAGAGAATTAAAAAGCACCATGAAAAGCTACAGGCTGTTCAGAAGCTATTCCACTGTATTAAGCATGTTCGTTTTCCCTGTTTTTAACCAGGATGTGATCTCAACTAAAGTCCCCAGTTCTGTTAACATTTGCTCATGTGTTTCTTAGCAAAAATAACAAGAGATCACTTGTGAAAGTGCCTTGGGAGTTACAGCCTTATAAAAGAAGCATCAGATGAAAATCAAATTCTTGCAACATTACAACTGGTAATGTATCTGTGACCTTCTCTAAGGTAAAACGCTCAGCCACTGCCATGGAACAATCCAGTTCCATCAAAGCCTGGTCATTTAATCCCCAGTAATATCCACCAATCACCATTTCCTTACCGTTTCAAGTGCACAAGAAGAACAGGCGGTAATTTCCAAATTTCTATTTTTTTCAAAGAATCCCTTCGAGTTTTGCAATGGCTACAGTAAAATCTATTGTTATCAGTGAGCTTTTCTTCTTTGGAGAACAATCTAAGGCATTCCTAAAACAAAATACAGAGATTGTGAATAGTAGGTGTTTTTGCAAGTATAACAAAAATGATTGTTTCCCATTTGGGTTGTTAACCTGCATTGGTTATCTGCATCCTACATTTCACTGAGGAAAAGTGACTTAAATCTATGTGTGGAAGCAAGTTTTACTGCAGATATTAATTAGTGTCCTTCAAAATGTACAGACAATATTTTGTTTAAAACCACAGAATACTTACATTGTGACCTACCAAAGCAAATAATATACATGCTGCTATTGCAGCTTCAGTATTTCCATCCTGCTTCTAACTTAAAACTTTTAAGTTTATTTCTTTAAACTTTAGAAAAAATTTCAAAAAATGCAGATTCGGATCTGTTCATGTTTCAGGTCAATGCAAATTAAGCAGAATGCTGACCAACCCCTCTAGCAGAGAGTGAACAGCAGCAGCACCACAATGAAGTGGCACTTTGCACTGCAGGAGCAGTTTCTCTCCAGTTGCCCATACCTGCAGAGTGCATTTGCTGGAGGATGCAAGTGGCAATGACAGATACATGAAAGCCTCGAAGGTTCGGGACCGCTTGTGACACGTCAGACACTGCACGGTGGATTTGAACTGCCCTTGGAACAGCGCCACAATGATGGACTCGTTGAGCTGCTTGTGCTTGTGCCAGGCTATTTCTGCTGCACTTGAGTCATCCAGGTGATCGTTATTTTCTTCCTTGTATCTTTTCCTGTTGTCAGCCTGGGTAGCAGAAGTTTAAATACCACAGCAATATATTAACATGTATGTAAGTAAGAAATCTCACACAGGCAAGCATATGATTGATTATTCACAAGAATATTTAAACATGTCAGTGTTGCCATCCAGTTCTTGTCTAGTGAGGCTTCTTCTGTGACTCCCTCCACCACCTGATACCTACTACTTCAGAATTCCTACTTTAATTCTGAATAATCACATCTCTTTCTATACAAGGTTGCAGTACCATAATCTTATGGAATAGGAAAGTATTTTAAAAATTTCTCTTGATCTTCTGACAGATATATAATTTGTTTTAAGTGTATTGCTTACTTTATTTAGGTCCTCATGCAAGCCATCCATTAGAAAGAGAAGCAATTCTTGGGAGTCCTGTTGGCTATATCCTGCAAATTGGTCATTAATTTTCCCAATTGTAATTTTGAAGTCTTTTGGACTGATATATTTATACTGTCCTGCCCATAAAGCTTTCATTATTACACCAAACTCTTCAGCCACTTCACCTTTATGCCCCAGGAAATTTGACCTATAAAATAAGAAACAAAAAAAAATCTGAGCCATTCAAATAACTGGGTTTTAATATGAATGTTTTTAATTCAAAACATGATCCCAATTTTAAAATATTTCTTTAGACTAAGGAAAACTGGCTATTAGACTGAGTTAAATTTTCATCTATGTCAGCCCTGTAATTTGGTACCATATTCCAGATGGAAGGTACAGTATGTTTTGTGAACTATTTAAATATTCAGTTTGGTTTTAAGAGACTCTAGCACACATGTATTTTATGAATGTGGTGACCATAATTTAATTATCACAATCAAGTAAAACCTATTTAGTGGCACACATGAATTTTGAAAATGTCAAGGTGCCTAAAGTTACCATTTGCCTCCTACTTAAAAAAACAGCCCCATTAAGTCATCTTATCTTCTTGAATTGGCAAGTATAAAGGCAGGTGAGAGACTGCTACCTGTTAATATCAGCTTGATACAAGTTTCTGTTGAAATACTCAGCCAGGTGAGGAGCATTGCACAGACACTGCAATATGGAATTCATGTAGCAAGTGTTCCCTAGATTACGAAGTCCGGTCAGAGCTGGTCCCGATCCCCCAAACACGGGATTGAGATTGCGAATCTGCGATGCAGAGAGCCTGGAAATTTCTGCTTTAGTGTAACACGCAGGTCTATAAGCAAAAAATTATTTTTTAGGAGTTTCAGACTTGATAAAGTTGTTCACATAAACCAACAGACAGCACACCTCACCCCACCACCCACAGTGATTGGACCATCCTGGCACCAAACACCATCATTTAGGGCACTCAAAATCAGCCAATGCAACAGTGAGAAATCCATATACACTGGCCTATAATGAGGCTGAGTTTTAGGCACCATCAGCTGTGAGACTGATATATTTTCTTCCTTTATTTCTTTAATTCACAGATGAAGAATTAGCTGTTTAATACAGTCTAAAATGTGAAAACTCGCATTTCACAAACTGCCAGAAGACAGACTTTTACTATGATAACACAAATAACAGAACTCAAAAAGCAACTGTCATCCAATTAATAGACTGTAACCTCTGAAATTCCTGCTAATACATAACTATGATGAGAGAACTGCTCTATACTCTGTACTATATAACTGCTCTATTGAACTTCTAGCAATGAAATTTCAGTCTATTACTCATGCATCCTTTCAAACCCACTTAGAAAACAGTAAGGAATTTCAGCTGGTTAAATACCAAGAAAGTCCTTTGTGCTGTCACACTGCCTGAGCTGTGATCTAAGTTATCAAACAAACATACTTATTGTCACGATTGACTGCAGGAGTGACAGGAATTCTTTTCTTGTCTTCCTCCTGGATGGCCTGGGTGATATCTGGGGACGAGTAGGAGCGCTTGAGCTTGGAGTGCTCCCTCTCCCGCTCAGCTGCCACCTTTGCCTTGGCTTTGCGCGTGGGAGGGGTGGATGGAGGAGTGGCTGCAGGAGCCATTTCTGGTGGGTACATCTGAACAGTGTTGGTTGGAGAGTGATAGTAACGATAGGTTCCAGTGATGTCATCCAGGAACTTGGGGGAAAAAAACCAAATAGTTTCAAACTCAAGTGAAAATCCATCATTAACTTACCTATTAACAACAGCACGAGTTTTTCAGACATTGGGATATTAAGTTGTGACTGGCCTCAACATTCAATGGATTAAATTTAGTAGAAGGGGAATTTTCACCAAAATGCCTATTAAACAGCAAAAACCAGGAACAGCACATGAACTGTCCTAGTTTCATTAGAAATAATATTAAAATTCAGAAAGTAAATGTGTGGAAGTTAAAGGGGAGTAAAAAAAAATGAAACAAGATCTAACTTAGAAGTAAGACACAACTGAAATACAGGACAAAACGACACAGAACAGTTTGATTTTCATTTCAGAAGAGGAGTTACCTTTACCCAACCTGCAGGCAGCCCTGGGACTATCCTTCCCATTTCCTCACTTCGTGCTCTCATTAATGGCTCCCGCTGGGACTAATAAACAAAGAGAAAAATAAGGTATGTACAGTTCCCTATGCACAGCAACGAGCTGCCTGTGACTTCTCTATGGAGTTACATGATTCAGTGCAAACAGTACAATAAATCCTTGATTACAGATAGAAATAAAATGTATTGTAATGGTAATTTAGTATTTTCTATTGCTCAATCTAAACAAAAAACACAGGAACCTAAACAAAACATTTTCTGACACATTCCAAAAAAACAAGAAACAAACCAACCATTTAGTCTCATGAAAGTCATAAAACTCAATTTTTTCCCTGAAGAATCAGGAAACAGTAGGAGTATAAGCTTCTGTTAAATTCATAAGGCTGAGCTTTTTTCTCTCTTAAAGTAGCACTTGAAGGTGTGTGCATGAGATGATGAATGCATGGAGAATGTTTGTTAGTGCCACCAGAAACACATCAAGACTTCTAATGGAAGTTTCAAGTATTTTTCATTCAAATTTGACAAGTGGAAAAAAAGCAAATGAACACTGTGAACATGGCATAGTCTTAAGATGGTGACTTTAAAAACTGAAATGAAATGGAGTTTAACATAAGAATCATTTAGCATCTGTGCTTAATTATTTTGACTACATACAATACATTTGTATTTACTTTAAGTCTTTCAGTATCTTGTTCAGAATCCTCTCTAAGGGGTCCTGGCATTTGAGCTTCACTGTCTGGTTGTCCTTTAACCCCCATTTGCTGCAAAAGATTTTGAAAGAAGGCTTCAATTTTCATCTGGCATGTCAGTAAAGAATGCTGATAAAGCAGAGTTACACTTTCTTTTTTGGTTGTTAAATGCATGTACCACAACAAAGTGGTTAAAGCAGGTGATTTTTATTCCTTCTGCATACTCTAGACAATTCACTGGAATAGTTTTTGAAACTGAATGTTGTATTACAGTTTGTTCTGTAGTTTCAGCAGCTCAGAAATAAAATGCAGATATTCCACCTATGCTACTTTCCACCCTAAAAGTTGTGAGGTTTATAATTTGTTGTTAAACTTCAGGCTTTTTTCCCTTTTGCTCCTCACTTATCAAACCTCTCCATGGAAAAGGCAAACTGTGAAGCCAACATGAATTTGGTTGATCATAGGTCATCATTTTGGGATTATGTGACATTTCTCTGTCAGTCAAAAGCTCATGAATGACTGTGCTAAATTTGCACAGGAAGATTTATTTTTGCTTTTTTGTGCATCTGGATTAAACAAACATCAGAATATGATCAAATCACAACTGCAATCACAAAAGCAGAGAAAAATATCCTAATTCAACTTCTTGAGAAGTGGTTGTAAAGACATCTGTTCCATTGTTAACTTAAAAGTGGCTTCTGTTCTATGATCAGTTGATTTGTGCATTGAGAAATTTTGCAGTTTTTTTCAAGAATGGGGAAAGTAAGAATTGTGACTCTCCTCCCTTCCCCCCAAGGTTTGGAACTGGACTGTTTTCAGCAAAAATCCTAGATGAGGATGTTGCTTTGCTTCCTGTGTCAGGTAACAAAATCCTGTTCTGTCAGAGTTTCTACAGCTGGGGGCACTAAAGGGTTCCTTATGACACCATCGTATCCTTAACACCACATACAGGACCAAGCTGGCACAAGAGATTAAATACCACCAGGCTTCTATTTTTGAAACAGAGGGTTGCAGTCTATGAACCATCATCCCTTCTAGCTCCATGTGAGTGGGAAGTTTTGTTATCCCGTGGGGATTACATGCTGCCCTCCTACAAGAAAGAAACAAGCTTGTCTTGGGGAAAAAAAAATCTATTTGTGTCTTGGTTTTAACTCTCTCCTCTACTTTTATGTAAAATGTGGTCTAAGTACACATCCAATTATGTATTTCAAATTGCTAGATTAAAACTGGACTATTCAGAATGATTTAAGTGCATAACTACTTCAACATGTGATGATGATTTTCTTTTCACTGACCTTGCCTGGAACAGTCACAAAGGTCTGAGATGCATCACCCAGTGCCCGTTTCTGTGTTTCTGGTGTTCGAGTTCCCTTTTCTCTTTCTTCCATGGATATTTTGTCAATCTCAATCCTTTTTGCACCAATGTTTTCTGGTTCATTTTTATTTTGCTTTTTTGCTTCTACTGCTTCTCTGTGTGCTCTTTCTTGTTCCTTTTCCTCCTGCTCTCTTTTTATTTGTTCATCCCTCTCCTTCTGCTCTCTGTCCTCTTTAGATTGCTGTAGCTTTTCTTTGTGTTCCTTCTCCTTCTGTTCCTCTTTTGCCTTTTGTTCTTGTTCTTTTTCTTTTCGTTCTTGTTCTTCTTTTTCTCTCCTGAGCCTCTCTCTCTGTTCGTGCTGCTGCCTCTCCCGCAGTTCCTTTTCCCGTCTGTTTTTCTCTAACAGAGCAGCAGTTTCTGCATGGACCCGACTTTTTTCTTCTTCTGTCAGAGTGCTCCTTCCATCATGCGCAGGCTTTGTGGAGCGGTCTGGAACTATTCTTCCACTCTCACCAGACTGGCTGTCACTGATTGTACTTGCAGGTTTTGCTCTGTTATCACCGAGGATTTTTAGTGAAGGCTTTTTAGAACGATCCACCTGTAACACAGGTGCAGAACACAGAGTGCAGAACAATTCACTACAGCTACCACTACTCTCTTTGCTAAGCTCTTCCTGAGTGAGATTTGTAACAGAATAAAGATTATATCAAGTTGACTTCAGCCAGAGAGAGAGATCTTTCAATTTCATTACATCTTCTCATTCAAAGTGCTTGTTAGTAAAATTAGGTATTCATTCCAGGTGTGAACTAATAAACAAGCCCTGAAGAACCATAAGGACAGCATTATGCACTGATTACCACAACCCTCTATTTTTGAGCTTTCAAAGGTAAACATTTTGGGGCAATCAGGCAGCCTAATTTGGGCTTGGCCCTCTCAATCATGTGACAAAGCACATGTTTAAGGCAGATCTGCTTGATGGGAAGGGGTATTTAAGAATGGCTTATACTCAACTGTTGCCAGTAGGTTGTTTTTGAGGTTGGAGTGAGTGCTCTGAAGAAATAAAAGCTCATCTGGTTCAGGGACAAACAGAAATAAGATCTCTAAATTTTACAGTATAGGGTCTCTTGAATGAGAGCTATATTAAAGGCTGCATCTAGAAAATGAAGAGCTTTTAGCCATGTCTACTAAGGTAAGTACTATTTTAGTGTAAGAATTCTACAAAGGTGTTTTTATGAAGTCTTATTCACATGAAAGGAAGAAACAAATTCCTATACTTTCACTACTGGGCCCAGAGTGACAAAACACCTAATGTTTTATTATTTGAATGAAGATGCAGTGGCTGGAAATCAGACCTGTGGAACAGCTAAGGTAAACCATGGCTTGTCCTCTCTGTATTTCATCCTATGTTGCTTTAAGTAGAAAGGTTACTTATAAACTTTCTGAATTAGTGATCAATTGCTGACCTTGAATTTCTCACATGCTCATATAAAAACATTTATGAAAAGTTCTGCTATTCTGTTGAATGTATTTAGTTCCATATAATTCTGTAGATCAGTTACCACAGCTTCACAGACCACCAAGAGTCTCTGTACCAATATACTCATGTACAAGGCTTAAACAAATGTATTGGGTATGTTTACTTGTGGATTTCAAGTTCTGGGTGCGGTGGGCCTCTAACACATTAACCATATACTAACTGAAAAAAAGGAACAGGTCAAAAAGCTTACCTCAGGGATACTTCTTGTAACTGACATGGGATTAACTACAAAGGAACTGTCAGATTTTGGAACAGCAGCATCTTGTGTGTTTGGTCTGTTAAGTGATTTTAGTCTCTCTTCCAAATTATCTCCCATTTCTTCATTTTCAGCAACAACAGGTAGCACAGGAGCTGGCTCTTCCAGAGATGGATATGTAAAATCCACTGCAGGAGGGGGGACAGGAGGGAACCATAAGAGAATTCTCAAAACAAAAGCAAAATAAACCCTCCATTCCAATCCAAAATTTAGCTTTTAGCCATAACAAGACTTTCCTAAAAACACCTGAATGAATGAAAGACTCATCCAGTAAGTAAAAATGCTTGCTGGAGTGTTATCCTTTGTACTTACAAGAAACAGTCACTGCTTCAGTCCTGCCATGCTGGGGTGGAGTTACTTTAGCATTTGTTGTGTACTGGGGAAAACAAAGGAGCCAGTTTTCATAACCTCCCTCTAGAATTAAAGGTTCATTCTGCAGGATGGTTTTGCTTTCCCACTGCATGGAAAAAAAAGTTTAAAGTTAATTGATTTAAAAATAGAAAGTAGACTTTTACAGCTTAATAGTGTTGTTTCAATTCCTGTGCCTAGACATTGAGAGATTGTTTTTTGAGATTTTTAAACAAGAATTAGTGGTTGCAAAAATAGGGATCCTCTCTGTGTTTGGAGAAGGCCCAGCACAGTTGGTTCCTGGCTTTGTCTACAACAGGGTGTGAGTATTTCCAGTAGAGAAAGAACTGCTTACTGCTACTTCACATAACAATCTTCCATGCAGAAAAGTATTTTTATTACAGTATTTGCTTCAGTTTCTTATCTGGTATGTTTGCTGAGGGATTAGTGATTTAGAAAGCATAACACTGACTTTCTGAAACCCCTTGAGAGTTCAGGGTTCAGACTGCCCTCCTCCTGCTGTCCTCAGTACTTGTTCAGTACTAGTACATGAACAAGACAGTCTAGAGAACAGTCTCTAAAGCAATTAAGAAGGAGAACTGCTGAACTATCTCTGAATCCCAGTGCTGAATGTCAAGGTAACAGAAAGATTTGCAGTCTTTCACAAGAGCCACCACTGTACAGAGGAGGGACAACACAGGCACAGAGAATTTGACTCGAATGTTGGGCATCTGCTCACTGTGGAGTCTATAAGCTTCCTGCACTGATGAAACTCAAATTTAAATTGATGTTTACCTAAAAGTTATATTCAAAAATGCAGAAAAGTGAACTTTGCTGAAAATATTTCTGGAGCCTCCTTCATTGCAGCCCATCCACTGTGGGAAGTACCTGGCTGATAGGACTGCAATGTAGGTGGCCAACCAGTTTCCAGGGATAAGGAATTACTGTTGCTAATATGGGAGGGAAGGTGACTGTTCCTGGGAAACAGGGCTAAAAGTATTTTCCCAAAGAACTGTAAGTTGATGAGCTGCTTGTTGAGGAAGTGAGTTGAATCATTCTGCTGTTTACCTGTTTAATAAATTATACTGTCATCTACTAGAGTACAGTATGAAACTTCAAACTACACTTCTGCTATCAAAACAAGCAGGCTTTGAAAACTCAACCAAGTGTCATTAAATATAAGTGCTTCAAGGCCTTATTTACTAAGATGAATTAATTAATGAATTAAAAGATGAAATTTGCCAACCTTAAAAAGTGCATCTTTCAGGCTCTGTAGAGTTGTTCCCAGCTTTAAGTCTTCAGCAGAACTAAACCAGTCTAGCAGTATAACATAATGGAACTGTCCTCTCCTCTTCCATGCATCCCTAGACTCCTCTGGGAGTCTAGCTTCAATCAGGTAAGCAGTATCTCTGAAATGAAATAACATGCATTCAAAGATTCATGTACAAGTAACATTCTGTCCAACAATATATAATCTATAGATGTTTATGTGCTTGGATAAAATAAATATACATTATGTTGAAGTCAGTACATGCAAGAACAGAGCTGTGCAGATACATCTCACCCACTGGTACGCAGCAGGGATTCTGACACTAGGTGTACAAGTTTAAAAGCATGTACTTTTTTAGAAAATTAAATATTTTACTCTCATTTAACATCATATCTTACCCAGGATGGATAGCTTCTTCTGGGACACTGATGGATTTTGGAATACAGGATTCCTGATAATCCTTTGATTTTCGAGCATCCATTATAAGCAATTCAATATTTTTGTCTGACATCATTGCAAACAGTCTCTCAGGTGTGACTGCTCCTTGAGAGAGAGAAATAATTACATGTAAGAAGCCACATTATAAATGAAGATAGCTATGAAGGGCTATGGTATCTGACTGGTGCAATCAAGACTGCAAACAGATGAAACAGAACTAAGAATTCCCACAAAGTCATGGAGGTGAGACATTACAGCATGGGCCTTTTGCTCCCACTGCTGTAGTGATCAGCACCTGATCTGTTAGATTAGACAATACTGAATATTTCAGTGATAAACAAGTTTAATGTACTGTGGTCTCATTTAAATCAAGCTACATAGGCAAGCATTTGTGAACTACATGCTGCAGATATTCCTCTTAAGAACTCCAGAGAACATTTTCATATACTCATTACAAGAACAAAAAGCAGAAGGTTGTAAGGAGAATGGAAAAATTTTGTATTTAGCTGAGTAAGCTGTCATATTTCATCCTTGCCTATCAGCAGTAGAGCTGTTTTTCTTTCTAACCTGACCAATTCAGGACTAGTTCATCTTCCATTACTGAACAGTTGAAAAACTAACTACAGATCTCTAAGTTTATGAGAAGTAATGAAGGCTTTAATACAGAGTTTAACGAATTACTGATTTGTTATAACTGAAATGCAGGATACTAGAATTTAATCTAAATATTTTAACTGTGAAATAACTCCTGAGAAGGACTGCAGCTGTGAGGTGATTAGTGCACAGTCATACAGAAATCTTTTTCACATTAGTGCAAGCACTGCATCTCTTACCACTCAGGCTATCAGACTGATCTTTTCTTTCCAGTGAATGCTTTGTCTCACCATTGATCTGGATAAGGGGAAAAAAAAATTAGCATGTAATACTGAGAACTGAGGTGGCCAACAGGCAATGACTCTCACAGAGCCTGAAGGAAACTTGTCAGACAATTAAGCCACAGGAACAAACACAGCACAAGGGAGCTGCATCTGAAGATGTGCTCACAAATGATACTCAAAAGATACTGAGGTTGCTGGCCTGCCTAGACAGAAAATAGTTACAAAGGTAACACAACCTAGGACACCATCATCTAGCAGAAGAAATTCTTTAAGTATTTGTTGAGAATTAAGTGTTAATTGTTTCCACACTACCGCTAAAAAGTCAACCTTCCCCTAAAATGGGGACATGTTATCCTTAGTATCAGTTTGTCAACATTACCTCGGGTTTCTTGCACTAATTCTGGCATAAAACAGAATTTGACTTAGTCATTCAGCTCAGTCTATCTTAAACCAGACTTGGAGGCTACAAGGACTTCACATATTCCAAAGAAATGTCAAAGAAAGGTTATGGAGAGTGTACATTACTTCAAAAAACTCCCACCTTGATTCTGAACTGGAAATAGCTACTAGTAGAGACTAAATTGAAACTATACATTCAGATTGAATTAGAGTTTGTAAACATCTTCACTTACCCTTTGGCTTTTTCCTTTGGAATCCACAGCACTTTCTGAGGAGTTTTTGGCTGAGCTCTTTCCATCATCTTTTGGTTCTTGCTTTTTCTGCAGCTCTTGTCTGTCCCTCTCTTCAAGTTTTTTCCTAACTTCAGCTTCCTCGTATCTATTGGGGGCAAAAAAATGCCTTTTTTTCAGTATTGTGGTTTTGGCTAACCTTGGATTATTAAAATCAAAATCACTAAGTCTTCGGTCAAAAACTTTAAAAGAAGGATTTAGAATTTTAAAAAGTTAAAGTATTGCCAGTTTTTGTATTCTGACGAACTCCATATTGCTTCCTAACTATGTGGTCTTATTTCTCCAACTTTTGGGTAGGTCTTCTTATTGCTAAATCTTGCTTTGAGTCCTATTACATAGCCACTGATTGTAAAGCTATTTTTTCTTCAAACCTGGTGTCATGCTTAGCTATGGTGTCTCTGAATGTTTTTCACTTTCCATTGACAACTGTATGTACTGGCAACTTACAGGTAAACTCCAATATATTATAACAGTGATCCCAGGTATTTTATTTCATTTTGCAATGGAGCCAGTGAAGAGTAAGTTAGCTCAGATATCTAAATTTGCGTTTTCTGGGAAGTTGGATCAGAACTACTTGTACAGTAATCACCTTCAGACTGTAAGCTGACTCTGTGATGTGCTCACCTGTGTGCCTGGTGCTTGTTTCAAACACTGGGCCTACAGGGAAGCCAATGCAAGAACTGTGTTCACTCAGGAGTTTTGGGGGATGAGGTCTTGCATACAACTGTCCTTTTCATAAAGCCTCAGATTTGAAAATTACCCTCCCAGCCTTTCACCACTGGAAGGACAATCATGGTATTGTAAAGCAGTGATCTCCAAACTACAGTTTTCAGATCACCCACTGGAGGTTTCTACAGTCACATCATTGTTCAATAGTATTCACTTATATTTAACATAACTGAGTAGTTTAAGGGTTACTAGTATCATAAAACAAAAAGAGAATGTTTGACCTAACAATTTGGATCTGAAGCAAGAAGTAAAACATGAACTCAGAATTGTGTTAGTAAGTGCTCATTTTAACCAGATGTTGTATAATGAGGGTTAAAATAACAATGACAATACAGCTGTATGTTAATAACCTAGATCATTCAAATTCCACCTCCAAGTCTACTAATTGCCCACTAAGAGGAAGGAGGCAGCAAGTCTGTAATTTTATTTTTAAACAGGTTTCTTGATTTGGCACAGGCGTTATAAGTTAGAACTGAGCATTTTGTTCCCACTTGGAGTTAATGACACTAAAGCATATTTCAGATTTTAGTTTAATTTGGTCAGTATGAAATATTTACCCATCAATTTCCTATCTATACCTCTGAAGCACGTAGTAGGTCATTCATGCAAGCATTCCTGCCCCTATACAAGTTTCATCACCTCTACTTTTAGTTAACAATTAACATTCAAACTATTTGCTGGCCTACTGCCTGGGGAAGAAATTATACAAATAATTTCCTTGAAACTACTTCTGTAGTTACACAGGAGTCATGTTTCATTTCTGTTACCTTTAAATATTTACACATTTTGCCAGAGTAGTTAAAAGTTACTGCATCAACTCCAAAACTCTGTTCCTTTCATAAAAAGACATAAGTTACTTAAACAAGTCTCTACATTTTGGGTTTCTCTGACTCTATCAATGTTTACTTTTAGAGTGAATTTATAGTTGTGTTTAATTGTAAGACTCACCTAAACAAAGAAAATCTAAAGATTGTTTCATACACAGCGTCATGAGATCTTTGTGAAGTCAGTCTTCACATACATGTAACTACACTCACAGTTCACCTAAACGAACTTTATAGATTTAGCAGTTTGGAGGTATAAAATACACTTTCACAAGAATACTTGGGAGGAGGGGCTGGGACAAGACACTTGTGAAGGGAAATGTGCCCAGCTGCAGAAAGAGAGTTAAAAGAGTGAGAACATCGCTAAGGATGCAAGAAGCAGAGAAAGCTGGAAATAAGAACTACTGTGCTAAATATCACCTAAAGATAGACCCTACCTTACAACTTCTTACTAACACAATTTCATGGCTTATGGCACAAAGATGTAACTTGTCAGCTGATAATCAGGTACCCAAAAGGCCATTAGCATCTGCTCATTTACATACTGGCAGAACTGTGCATTCCACACACATATCTGCAAGTGGCTAAAGAATCAAAGCCTGGCATTTCTTAGTGGAAACTACATCCAGACTAGGGGGACTTTTTAGCATATCTGATGATTAGGAATGTTCATTAATGTATTATGTTAAAAGGTTGAGGAAGAAATTGCTCTTGATCATCTGTCCTGTTTATGTACTTCAGACCTTGCGGTTTCTTTTTATTAGTCAATTAACAAAACCCGGAGGCACTGTCAACAAACAAAGGAATTAGCAGAAAGTGTACAAAATGACAAGTTATTGGAGTGTGTGGCAGTGAAAATTATCTCTAGTAAAAGACTTCTGGGAATAAATTTAGGCTCTCAAGAGTTTCAGGTACCTATGGTTTACTCAAGTGCAATTGCTTACTACTAAAGAGCACGAAAATCTGCACTTGGCACAGATACAGGCTCGAGGTAAAAGGAATAAAGTCTTAGCCATCAACTATATTACATACCTGAGTTTAAGGCTGTCTGACAGTATTTCAGCTTCATCAAGAGCTTTTTTTAAATTTGTAGGTCCCAGAATTGAATGAAAATAATCCTAAAATGACAAGCATCACATAATATAAATATGCAGTTTAACAATGCTTACTTCTATGCATGTCAAGAGTCACTAATGTATGGAGAGCTGATATTATAATATTAATGCTAAAAAAAGAACTAGTTTGAATCAAAACATTTTCCATTCAAATATGAGTTTGTAAGAAAGACTGAAGTCTAAGTCTAAGACTTACTAAAGTCTTACTTGTCTAGTCTAAAGACTAGACAAGGCAACTTCACCAAAGAAGTCTGACTGATAAAAATTATGGGAATACCTTTCCATGAAAAAATATTCACAGATCTGACAATTTGTATAGTTCATACATAAAAAAGAAAACTGTAAAAAAAATTAACATCAGACTTCTCAAAATCAAGAAAGAAAAAAATAGCACCATAAGTGAGACAGTTTACTTAATATCAGTGTGATCCTTTGAATGTGTTTTAGTGTAATTCTCTGTACTTCTCATACTTTGACCAATGCAGAAGAGATCAGACAGAAATCTTTTATACCTGCTGCTGCTTAAAATCAGGTCTCTTTCTAATAAGGTTATAAACAGCCACATATTTCATGTATAGGATGTAAGCTTTTTCTTCATCTCCATCCAGTCTGCTTTCCTCTGCTGCCTTGAAAATCTTAAGGGCACTCTGCACATAACTGAAAGCAAAGAAGAGGAGTAAAGCACGTAATTGTTGACTTGTCCTCAAACACCTTTTCATTACAAGATGCCATCTTAAGTGTTTACAGACTTCATCCATATATTAAGCATTTGCTTTTACCACCTTAATATCAAGCTTTCATTAAATATGAATTGCAATCATGTTCTTCCAAATAATGTTTATCTTTGCTAGTCTGTTTACCAGCCTTATTTAAAGTCTTCCATAATTAAATACCATAGTGAGATATGGAAAAAGGTACTTTCCCCTTCTAAGAATAACTTTCTTTCTAGGAAAAATTAAGTTATAGTAAGACAAAATTAAATCATCAATTTTCTAAAAATGCTAGAGGCAAAGCATTCAGACACTTGCAAAAGATTTTGTCATTTTTACAGGTCTGCATTTATGTAGCCTTTCCTCTAAGCATGTGAATTTTCACGGGCATTGTGCTCTGTCCAAGTCATGTTTTGGCAGTATGCCAAGTGGCTTCTGAAGGCAGTAAGCACATCCAATGTGACAGTCGAGAGCCACATATAAGACTATTGGAGATTTTGTATCTAGCAGAAATAACGAAGGAAATTTAGATCCTCAACAAATTTGTTCTGGGACCACAAATATTTTAAGTATTAATTCAAAATCAATTATAACATATATACCTTTTTGTACTGGTCTTTTCAGGTTTTACTTCTGTCTTCTTGTTGAGATCTTTCAATGAAGTAGAGAGGTACAGCTCCTTAGGTACGGATGCCACAGCAGGCATGTTAATATTGTTACTTATGTCCCTTCTAGGATGTTACAGCTTCTTAGAAGTTTCTACCAGTATTTTTCTGGAGGAGGAAAAAAGGCAGGAAGAGCCAAATTATATTCCAATTCCTTTTAGTACAGTAGTTATAGTTACCTGTGTAGGTTTATTACCTAATTTATCTCACCTTATGTGAGCTAGCAGAGTGTCGGAACAATTAATAGTATAAATTAATATTTCAAAGTGACAGAATTATTTGAAATCACTTCATGTAATTGATCAAGAATGTTCAGCAATATCCGTGCTAACAGGAAAATTTAAAAAAAAATGCTGACTCATGAATGTTCAAAATCATCATATCCAGCAAATTTATTCTACTGAAATGCCAGCAAGTATACTATCAAAAAATAGCTGACTCCTCTGTACTCTGCAAATACACATTACTCCCCCTGAAAAATGAGACTTCTAAAGTCTTGCTAAGAGATAAGCTGAGAACAGGGAGGCTGCTACCATTAAAGTCCACTGAAACATCTTGGACATTCTGTAGGTCTTCAACCCCTTGGTGCCATTGACTTTGTGCTTTCATTTGAAAGTGGTTTCCAGGCAGCCATGAAATAGTTAAGCAGAATTTGGTCACAAGGGACTGTTACATCATGTTATCTGAGACAGGGAAGTCCAGGAAGTCTCCTGCAGACAGTCCAAAACTCTTTGCATCTAGTACACAGTGAGCTATTTTATTTTAGCCTTGGGGGTGGCAGGGGAGGAACTGAGCTCCCTCACAAGGAAGAGGGGAGACATTCAGATGTGAGCAATACTGAAGGAATGAAGGGGGACTCAGTAGAAGACAGACACTCAAATGGTATCAGCAAGGAAGTTATTTCCTAGTAGAGAAAAGCCACATGGCTTTTGAGAAGATGAAGGTAGAGCATTTCTCTTGTACTCTCAATGCGATCAGCATCAAGTGTGACCAAAAAAAAACAGACAGTGACCTCAGAGGGAAGCTTCACCTGACCAAATTGATCAGTAGCCACTCAATGAAGTAGTCCCAATTTCCCTCCCTCTTTCTCATGCTGGTCTGGTACTTCTCCAATCTCTTCTTGGGCCAATTCATCCTGCTGAAGAAGCAGAAAGGCGACACAGCTTGTGCAAGGGCAGCAGCTGGGATGTGCAGTCAAGAATGAGAGGCTAAGGTGGGAATGGGATCCTTCCCAAGGCTCAGAGCTGCTTACTCCCTGAAGTATTGCTGCACAGAGTATTGCCAGGCCGACTCTTGTTGGGCTGGGAATTGGTTATCAGACAAAACACTGAGTTAACACAAGCCTTTGGTCTAAGGTCTGGTATGCCAAGGTCAGACTAAACAATATCCAGCAAAATAACTTACTGCTTCAACACAGATGCTGTACTTGCTATTTTCCTTGATAACTAGCTATCAGCTTTTTAAAACTGAAAAGTTTGTTAAAAATCCTCTCTTAGTGGACTGATTTCCAGATAATTCTATAACGTAAGTACTGAAGTCCTCAAATACTATCTTTTAATACATACAATTAAAAACATATCCCATACCTAACTCATCTTAAAACCTTGTCTTTTCTATATGATGTGTCATTCATCCAATTGTGACTTTCAGGGGGATACTTAAGAGCTGAAAACAAGGCAGATAATTCATTAGAACTGCATGCAGTAGAAACAAAACACAGACATTCCCTGCCCCAACGAAGACCTTTCCAGTACAAAAGCCTTTTAGCCTAAAACAAAGACATACTTTTTGCAACCTCATAGAGAGAGGCTCGCTCTTATGAAGATTTTAGTATTGCTTCTCTCATTCTACATTCAGAGCATGTCTTTACCTGGCTTTTTTTTTTCACCATGGAACTGTAAATAGACTTTTCCTTTGAAGCTTTTAAGTCCTTTCCAAATATATCTTCAATGTTTGCTCTGTTATGTAACCAGTATTTTCTTAATCTTAAGTGGCAGCATTTGGTTGTGTTCTGACAGAATATTGTAACTAAATACGCAGTCTGAATAAGATATGCACATAGCATTAGAGTGCTGTGTGCATATGAGCAAAAAAAGCTCAAGATTATGTGGAAGATGAACCATTTAATGATGTCAGTAAATTCTCAAGTGTTGCTGACACACCTTGAAAAGGGCAGATCTTCTGGAACATCATCTATACAAATGCAGAACTAGTAAGTAAAAGCCACCTCTGAACTTTGGCCTGAAACAAAAATTGTCTTTCCACATTTTTCTGTGGTCACTAAATTATAACTGCAGGTCTTTAAACTGCCATGCAAGTTCACTGCTGAACTTTTATTTTCTGATTATAAGAAATTTCTATACCTTTCTTAAAACATGAGCTTCTAACCACAGCAGCTGATGAATGAGGTATTACCCTTTGACCTCCCACAACATCACAATTCATACAATATGCTGCAGTGAAATGAGAAAGAATGGATAAGGAATAGCATTTTCTAAACTTTTTAAAAAATCAAATTCTCAACCACATACTTAATTGAAATACACACAGCATATGTGATAAGTTGATATGAGATTTCAATTGTAGTTTCTAAAACATTTTTCTATGCAGAATTTTAATTCTGGATCTGTAACTAACATTTTCAGGTTTATGCATCACAAATGCCCCAAGTGGATTTTAGTTACTACATACTGACCATTGCTGACTGCTCAGTCTTAGCTCCTAAGGACACTTAAAATTTCTTAAGCTTCTAGTAAGTTTTAAGATGTGCATTACCTTAATTTTCCTCATACCCAAATGAACATGGTTTATTTCCTTAATTTTTGAGCAAGCTTTGGAAGACTATAATTTCAGAGTCCAAATCAGCTCCTTCACTGATAAATATTGCCATCTGATTTTGAACACAATTTTTTTGCAGATATCAGATTCCTAACTGGCCTAGTCTCAGTGGAGGAATCCAGCAAAATCCAGTTGCACAAAACCAGTTTGGAACTAGTCGGCATCAAAGAAAACTGGATCATAAAACCATGAATAGAAGGGACTGAAAAAGTTGTAATAGCTAAATCTACTATTAGTCGACCCTATGAGGAAGAAGCAACAACCTATTTCAGGTTTGTCAACTTTTATCTTAAAAATTAAGATCAAACTCAAAACCTGAGATCTGTTCTACCCCCAGCTGAAGTATTATCTCTGGCTCTTTTTTCATACCTATGAGTGTTGAAAACAAGGCCAATATCCCAAAATATAAGTGAAATCATGCTTGTATGATTATAGGCATTTGACATACTTAGAATGGATAGTTTTACCCTGACAGAGAAACATACCTGTTGGTAACAGGTTTTTCAACATGTAATTATCATGCCAGTTTTACTAAGGATGTGAGTAAGCTTTAAGTGGAATGACTACAGAAAGAACAATGCACTGAAGCAGTTACACTGCAAGCACTGCACACACTAACACATTGAGAAATAGACACAAGTAATGTGCATCACCAATTCAGGTATGTAATAATGTATTATTCACTTATTTTTCTCTCTAGCACTTGAGCAAGTGAGAAATGGATTTCTCATGAGCATTAAACTGCTCAGCCTTCTCAGAATTAAGCTGTACTGTCTGCACTTAGTACACAAGAGTTGGTTTTCTTTAGGATTATCAGTTTGAGTGTAGAGCCTGAGAATCTGTCAATGACTGAACTACACAATCAATCAGCATATTGAGTTCTGGGAGTCCTCCAGCTCTCTTCCAGGTACTGTTAATACTACAGGCCTTGGTCCTGTCACCTAATGTGCATAGGATGATTATAACTATTGGGGCTTCTTATGGCAAGTTCATTATGCTCACAGAGAGTACCCAAACTTTCACTGTTCTGTTTCCAGGGCAGTAACCCATCACGGGTCTCTCTCGGCCATGTACCCTGCTGGAACCCGCACCAGCCCGCACTGCCAAGCCTCGCAGGGACTCTGTCCACGCAGTGAGAAAACGCTTTGACAGACAACCATCCCACACTATAAAGTTTCTCAAATACACTGCATTTTCTGCAGTAAGTTTCGAAGTTATTCTAAGTAAAACCACAAATAGTTCCACTTGTTATTTAGATAAATGAACATTTGCAAGGCGTAGGCAAACAGCAGAGGTGATAAGAAGCCGGGGAGGTGACAGGGAGGCAGAAAACTCCTTCAAGTTTCCGAGCGGGCGGTCAATAGCGCTGCGGCGGCCCGGCCGGGCTGTGGCGATCTCCATGACACCGCAGCTCGCCGGCCGCAGGAGTGCGGCACTCTGGGAAGCGCCGCTTCCCTGCCATCTTCCTCCGGCCGCTCTCGGGCTCCGCCGGCCCCGCTCGCTCCTCACTCGGCCGGGTAAGGCTGGGCGGCTGCGGGCCGCCCAAGGTCACAGCGCCGGCTCCCCGCTGGGCCAGGCCCGATCCTCCCCGCGCGGCCCAGACCGGCTCCCTGCCCTCCGCAGCCCCTCGAGGGCCGCTCCCCCCGCACGGCGGGGATGGGCCCGGGGATCCTCCAAGGGCGCCCGCCCCTCCCGTCACTGCCGGACTCCCCCTGCCCCGCAGGCCATGCTCCCCGCCGGCCCAGAGCCGCCCCGGCCCCGCACTCACCGCCGCGGGGACTCGCTGCCTCCGCCCGCCGGCCCGGGGCAGGCCCATGTCCGAGCGCGGCTGCCGAGGAGACGCTACGCGGCCATGGCTGCTAGGGCGGAACTCGGCGGCGTCCCTCCCTCCCCGCTTCCCTCCCTCCTGCCGGCCTCCGCTCCCCGCGGGGGCGGGGACTGTCACGGCCCTATCCGTGCCGCGGGGCCGGCTCGGGCCGTGCGGTGCGGGACGGCCCTGCGGCTGTCCTGCGGGCCCTGCGGGGGCAGCAGCGCTGGGGCGGCCGGGGGACGCAGACCCACACGCCGTGGAGCCGCCTCGGAGCTGGGGTGGCTCCAGGGGCGGTGTGAGGAGGGAGATGCCGTGACCTCGCCCAGCAGCACCGTCGGCCCTGGAGAGCGCTCCGGGTTACCTGCCGTTACCCGCCGTGCCCCGCCGGCCTCCACGGGCTGCTGCCCGCCGGAGCTCGCTCCTTGCCTCGGGAGCGCGAGATTTGTCACTGTGGCCAGGGCACTAACAGCGGGCTCTGGGGGCTGTCACAGTCTGTAGGACATGCCAGCGTTTGTATGGGGTGTTAAACTGCCACTGCACTGTGCAATCTGGTGTAGGAATGCGAGACACCTCGCTTTATAAAAATATCCTATTTTTAGTTTAGAGAAAACTGGATTGCTAGGGGACACTCCAAGTTTTCTGTTGATGGCAGTGTTTTCTGTGCACCTTGTGTTACTACCAAGCATCGTGTCTCAGGGATAGCAGGTATGTGTGGACGTGCTGGTACAGTCGTGCTGGGAAAAGGGGAGAGGCTGGTCCTGCTGTGGAGATCTTACACAAATGGAGGAGATGATCTGTGCTGCCACAATCCTGACCTGTCCCCTAACTGTGTTGGAGGGTGAGGGGATTCAACAACTACATTTCAACTCAGTTTTGCCAATGGAAATGTCTTGTGAGCTGGAGCAGTTTCCATCAGTGACTTTAGAAAACAGGGAGGTCTTGGAGCCTAAACAGGGAAGTTTAGAAAACATGGAGATGCCTGTCTTCATGTAGCCTTCCCAAATACTTCTGATCCCTTGCCCAGGAAGCTGAATTATATCACAGCCCCTCGCACAGTAACGTTGGTTGGTACTAGCCACATGAAAGGCACAGACAATTTATCTTTGCAGGGTGTGTGAGTGATCAGGCATGTGAAAGGTTCTGGGAGCAATGAGAACAGTGATATGTCTCCTTTATTGTGCAGAAAGGTGAATACCAAAGTAAGTCAATAGATTCCAATAGCTCTGAGCTGAACTGAGTATCAATAACACCATGCTCTCGTAAGTGCTTTTTCAGACCTGCTCTATGTGTTTTAGCCAGGGTGGGTGATGCCAAAAAGTTATGACAAGATGGAAGGGGTGAGTCCACTGATGCCAGAGCTTGAGATGTACAAATTAATGTTGACTCTCATACTCACTGCTGTCCAAACTGGACTCAGAGAACCCTTTTATTGTTTCTCTTATATGAAAAAATTGTGTGATACAATCTTTGGTTTTACTTGTATGGGCACACCCCAGCCATATATAGAAAAGTATTTGGGGAAGAGTTGCCTATGCAATTAGCTTTACCCCACTCCAGAGCTTGTTAAAACATGCTAATAATGTTGTTTAAGTTATAACATGCTGTGGTTGCCTCAGGTTAGAACACATTTCCCTATCAGCACATGTTCTTGTGTAGCAGTATAAAATAAATAAAGAAATTAATTTTAGTAGAAATTGGTGTGCTTTTTAGTAGAATGTATTAGATTTTTAGCTAAAAAACATTTACATTTTCTAAAGCAGGGTAAAATAGAAACCATGCTTTACAGATGTGAAAGATGTTCTGACTGCCTACATCAGACATCCAATGTCTCTCTCTTACAATGGAGTTTTGGTGAATGCCTTAAAAACCTAGACATGATTATTTTGGGATCATAATAATGAACTGATACACAGTGCTAATGGACTAAATGTAGACTGCATTGTTCACCTCCATGAGAGATTGTCATTAATATGGAAAGCTTGGCTTTTCTGTAGCACTGCTGCTAACACCACAGTCTTCCTGTTTTGCTGGCACACGCCTGTGAGGACATTGTAACATTTTCTGTGTCTACCGCTACTGCGTAAATGAAAGCCATAACATGACACCCTAAATCCTTGTTGAGAGACACAGACACTTGTCAGCAACAAAAGAGAAGTGTGCTGAAGGTTGGATTCAAGGGTTCCATGCCCTGCGTGACCAGTGGCAGCCCTGAGGTGCTTGGATTTGTTCTCTAGTGCCGCCTTCTGGCTGAGCATGCCCAGAAAAACCAGTCCACAGGTGACAGGAAGAAATGGTTACTGCTTGGAATAATGTTATTTGTATTTTATGCAAAGCTGCATTAGGTAGGTCAAAGGCAAATAATAATGGCTCTGTAAACAGCATTATAACAGGTATTCCTCTAATTATCTAGTGGGTATTATAATCTCCAAAATAACAGGCTGGAATTTTGTCGTTGGTATGTTTTCCTGAAGGATGACGATTATGAGATCCATGCTTCACAGTAGCAGATGTATGACTTGGAACAGCTTTGGGGAGAATGTGAGCACAGCCATTTTGCATTGTTGAAGCAAAACTGGGAGAGAAATGTTTTGGGGCCTGAGCTGTCAGGTTCAGTATGAGCCTGGGACTGAGGGCCAGAGCCCTCTGAAAGAGCAGCAACAACCAAAGGCTAGTTTGGAGCTGTCATCCTATCAAGTTGTATTTCTATGATCCCAAAGTGGAGCTTCCTCTGTATTTGCAACTGGTGAGGCCACACCTTGAATACTGAATCCAGTTCTTAGACTCTTAATTTAAGGACATTTTGGGGCTGGAGCAGGTCCAGAGAAAGGCAATGAAGCTGGTAAGGGACCTGGGACACAAATTCAGTGAGGAGCAGCTGAGGGAGCTGGGAGTTCAGTCTGGAGGAGGCTCAGGGGTGACTTTATGCTCTCTACAACTCCCATATTGGAGGCTGTGGCCATGTGGGAAGGAGTTGGTCTCTCTCAGGTAACCATCACAAAAACAGGAGGATAGAGTTTGGAGTTCCACCAGGGAAGGTTTAGGTTGGACATTAGGAATTTGTCCACAGACAGGGTGATTAGACATTGGAACGGGCTGCCCAGGAACGTGATGGAGTCACCGTCCCTGGGGGTGTTGAAGGAAAGACCGGACCTGGCACTCAGTACCGTGGCTCTAAGCTGACACAGTGGTGTTGGGTCACACGTTGGACTCATGATCTCTGAGGCCTTCTCCAACAGACTTGATTCCGTGATTATCTCCACAGCTCTGCCTCACACAGGCAAGGCAGGCAAGTCCATGCTCAGAGATTGTACCCTCGCCTGGGAGCACAAGAAGAGCTCCAGCAGCCACGAGGCGGGAAACGCAAGCTCCACCACCCTGTGTCACAGAGTAACCCGGGACAGCGACCCCTGTCCTTATTCCATAAGCTGCCTCTAGGGAGGCCACCCGGGCCCGCCGAGAGTGCCGGGCCGGCCCTGCCCCCGCCGGGCGGGCAGCGGAACGGAACATGGCGGGGCCCCTCCAGCCCGCGCTTCCCCGCCTTTCCCCGCGGCGGCGCGCATGCGCGCTGTGCGGCGGTGAGGCCGTATCCCTCCGCGCGCCCCTTTTCCCTCGATGTCTGTGTTAATAAGGTAATTCCCGCGCCCATGGTAAGTGCCGGGCGCCCCTCCGGGCCCGCCCGGGGCGCCCCGCGCCGCCTCGCGCCCGCCCGCGCGCCCGCGGCGGGGCAGAGCCGCGCGGAGCCGCGCCACTCCCCTCCGCCCGCCGTGTCCCTCCGCCGGGCGCGGCGCGGACTCTCGTGTGGGGCTCTCGGCCTGCGGAGCCCCGGGTCGGTGCGGCGGCGGCGGCGGCGGCCGGGCCGGCAGCACGGTAAGGGCCCGTCCCCGCGCCCCGTCTCTCCCTCACCCCCCCCGGGCCGGCCAAGCTTTTCCAGGTCAGTCTGCGCCTTTGTATAGGGCCCTGTTACCGGATGTGGAAGTTGATCTCTTCGCTGGTAAAAAATAATTCCACTTCCCCCGGAACCCGGCGCCGCGGCTCCCTCCGCAGCGCCCAGCCCAGCCAGGATTTCCTGTCGGGGAGAGCGGGCGGCCGGCCGGCCTTCCGGGGACCCCGCCGCGCGGGGGGCGCGGGCGGCGCGCTGGGCCCCGGCGGCGGCCTGGGCGGCCCGCGGGGCGCGGGCGAGCGCGACGCGCCCGGCGAGGGACCCGGGAGCTGCGGGGCAGAGCGCGGCCGGGCTCGTCCCGCGGGTTTCTCCGGCGGGCAGCGCGGTGCGGGCCGCGTGGGCACGGTCCCGAGCCCCGCGTGGGCCGGGGGGGGCCGGCGGGGCCGCGGCCCGGGCTCCTGAGGCGGCGGGGCTGCGTGCGCGAGCTTGGCGCCAAAGGTGCCCTGGGGAGAGGCGGCTCGGGCGGGAAGGGAGCGGCTTCCCCTCCGCAGTGCCCCTCGCCCGGAGTCTGTAACTCTTGCTTTGGACTCTTAATAAAGCGTACCATGGGAGCATAACAGTGGGATGCGATGTGTTAGTGCGGATTGTCGTTTTTTTGTTCTGATTTCCCCAAATAGTCGAAGTAGTTTCCGTTGGTGGGACGCTGGTGGCACGTCGGTGAAATCCCCTGTAGGAAGTCGTCTGTGGTGGTTCTCAAGGCATTTGTGTATTTTCCTTTGACCTGCTTGCTAAGGTGGCTTTAGATTTAACGGCGAATCCTTCATAGTAGGGTTAAATGTGCTCAGACTTGTGAATGCATACCCTGTAGTTCTTCAGCCTATTTTAAGTTAGTTACTTCTGAATTATTAGCAAGACTGTGCAGTTAGTTGAGTTTTGTATGCATACAAGTATTTGCAAGAGAACATAACTGTGCCATGTAAGTAAGGTTAAGAGTATATGTGGCAGATCAGCATACTCTAAATAGAGACTCTTGTTCATGACCTACTTTTTTTTGCTGAAAACACTTTGTTTTCTGGTTGCATTTTTTTTTTAGGCCTGTGTGCCAGACAGAAACTGTCGAGGAAGATTCCTCATGATAAAATGGATGTTGTTGGTAGGAGGTGGATGATTTTGATTTGATGGTGTTTTCAAGCTTAATCAACCTGAGACATTCTCCTAAGGCTGTGGTACAGTTCAAAGGCTACATCACAAGCCCTTGGATGCTTCATATCAATCACAGCTGCTGCAAATTAACCTTTTTGGTATCTAGTGCCAAATTTATTTGTGAAAACTGTAGGTTGTTGGCAGTGCCAATCCAAATCTTGGTGCCAGTGGTTCACCCTTGTTGCATAACACTCTTTAGATGTTACAGATCATGGCCAAATCTGTGCTCTCCTATGTAAAAAAAGATGTAGAAAAGTCTTTTTTTTATTTGAGTTATTTGAGTTCATTGCTGATTGGTGCTTAAGTTAATGTGTGAGCCTAATAGGAGGACAGACCTGCATTACTGACAGGCCTGGCTGTCTTTGCCACTAAGCTATTCAACGATGTTTGCTTTTCTCAGATCAGGTATTTTTCATCTGATGCATGTCTGACATGAAGGTCATGTTGCTGTTCAAGCAAACTAGAGAGAATTTAATTAGAAATAAAACAGAGGAAAGCAGAAAGCACTGGAATTAAAGCTGACTGCAATTAACACATTAGTGTAATTTGCACTATCATGATAGCAGTGGGGATAAGTCTATGATATCTATATCAATATTTGAAGTATTGCTTGTGAAGTCATTGTCAAAAGATGTTTGATTCATGTAGGAAACAGGAGCTTTTTGAGTTTGTAAGTTGCTATAATCACTGGTAATTGGTAATGCACATTAAAGTGATATCAAAGTGTTCATGAGATTCTAACTACTCTATGCTGAACTTCAAAATATTATTGACCTTGGTATGGACAGGCACATAAAATTAGCTAGAAATGGCTATTCTGAATTTCTAGCAATAGTGTGAGATGTTGAAATCAGTAGGGTGGTAGCATTTTTGAAGGTCAGGTCTGGGGAAGCAGGTTAAATTGGTTTTTTCTTCAGTAGTGGGGAGAAAAAGACATTCTCAAAGGGTGTTATTTTTCTAGATGTAATGGATGTGAGAGATGATGGGTCTCCAGCCATCTTCTCAGTGCAATTCTGCCATCTGTCACTTGAGCAGGGAAAAGTGTTTAATGAGCCTTTAATGGAACTTGGTGATTTCAAGCCCTTATCAGAGACACTCTGTGTGTTGATTCAGGTACCTGTGATAAGCTGCACTGCTGCAGTCCATGCTCCTCCAGAGGAAGGGTGTCCCTTTCAGGGGTGCACCTGGGGCAGACACTGGGCTGGGAGATCTCCGTGCTGCCAGATGTTCTGCAGCAGCTGGTCTGGGCCTGTTGATCTTGCCCAGCTGATGCTCAGCACTGAGGAGCAGGTCTGGGCTCTGGGGGGCAGGACACCACCCTGAGAGACGCTGCGACATTTGGAGCCAAACTTGATTTTAATTTGGGCTGCAGTCTCTGCTGCTCTGTTGTCTGTAGACTCTGGTGTGGTAGCCAGGCATCCCAAGCTGCCAGGTTTTAGCTCCACTTGCTTCCCACAGAGCCTGTTTCACACACAGCTCCACCTAAACTCCTGTTGAGTGCTATCCTGCACCCTTCTGGTAACAGTGTCATCTTCAGAGTTTTATAGAGGGTATAAAAACCTGAATCTAAGATGGATGCGAAAAAGTAGTATCATTTTCCTTTGAACATAAGTAAAATAGCAATAATAATTTGATGTTATTTTTAATTGCCAGCTAATTGTGGCATCTGGCTAATGAGACTGTGCAGAATACATTGCAGTAATGTGGAAGTTCAGGAGCTGATTGAATCAGGGAAGTCTAAACCCAGCAGAAGCTCTTCCCTATTTACTCACTTGTAGACAAAACCCTCTCTTCACACATTTGTGTAGGAGCTCTTAGAAGTCTGAAAACATTATCACATTGCCATAACAGTAACTCCAACAGTCTCAAGTCTTTATTTCAGAGCCAGTGATGCTTTTATTCTCCCAAAAAGTCCTCATGCAAAGTGTTACACAGCTGTCATGCTAGCAGAGCTTGATGGAAATGACACAGTGAAGAGAACCCTCAAACACTGTTCAGCAGAGTTGATTTTAGCACTGTGGAGTAGCAGCAGACTGCTCTTTGAAATAGCAATCTCATTTCAATTTTAAATGTATTATTGTATCTTGCTTGTGACAGTATCACTGCACTATTGTAGAGTTGCTGAGCCATCTTGAGGGAGCAGCTGGAAGGGTTTTGTGGGATGGGAGGCTGGGGCTCTGCAGACCCTTCTCACTCTGTCCAGGACTGTGGGTGAGTGTAGGGGACGTTGGATGTTGTCACCGGGGGGTTTCTTACAGTGCCAGTCCTTGGGATGGGCTGCCAAGTGGAAATCAGCCTTGGGTTGACAACTCTTCAGAAATTTTGTGAGTGCTGGTATTCGTTGGTTAAAAGTAAATAAACGTGCATGAGTTTTGTTGGGAATGCCTCTTTGTTTGCTGCTGTTAGTGCATTAGTGGTGTGCAATGGGATTTTTATTATTTTAGTTGAACAGTGGAATTTTGTGAGTTTTTTCTTTTTTCCACTAGATGGCCCAAGCACGCTTCCAAGTACCCCATGAGAACTGAAACTTGATTCATTTCTCTTTTAACTGAAGTAAAAACTCTGCATTGAGAGGCATATACCAACCTGTGTGATGCTTTGTGTTTGTTTAAAATACAAACACCTATTTACCAAGAGAATGTTGGTCAATGGAAGGAATATGCAGTAATGAAATGTTGTTTTAGAACATTTTTTATCAAGTGTAGTGTAAAGCTATTTAGTCTTGTGTTGAAAAGAGAACTGGTGTGCTTTCATTGACTGCTCCACAGTAATTCAGGGAGTTCAGGGAGCCTCTGAAAAGGTGTTGATCTGAAGTTTGTCCCTAACATCTCCTGGGACTGAGACTGGGATTTTGCAAGTCACCATAATTGATTTTTTTTTTTGAGGGGTGGCTTGAGTTTTGCTGCACAGGGTGACAGCTTTGCAGTTCATTTCAGTAGTGTATAGATGTGGGCAGTGGGTTCTGCATAGGCTGCTAAATGTACAGACCAATTCAGTTTAACAGACATGAAGTGTAACTTGTTATCATGAGTGTCTTTCTGGTTAGTGGAGGAAGATGGATATACACTGAAGGCAGCTCCTCCATGGGGGTGGTTGGACACTGGAATGAGGCTGAAGAAGTGGTGGGATGTTCATCCATAGAGAGACATTCAGAACTCAACAGGACTGAGCCCTGGGCCAGCTCTGGCTGGGATATTGAACTATGTGATCTTGACAGGTCTCCTTCAGCCTTAATTATTCAGCAATTCCAAAATGGGATTTTATTAGTTCCTTTGCTCCACTGCTGTTTAAACCAAAAATAAATGGAAAATGGATAGTTGTGTTTCTGAGCGAGTTGTAACCTCAGTAACTCCCAGCTTGCCTTTGCTTCTGAGGGCCTTGATGTGGTGGTATTAGACCACCAGAAGAAGGATGTCTGTCTGTGAGCGTGCTTTTCCTCCTTGACTTGCAATCCCCACTGGGGAAAAAAAGCCATTTAAAGGGAGTGCTCTATTGCTTCATTTCACTGCTGCACTTGCCAAGTGCCAGCTCTTGCCTTATGTTTGGTATTATTACTTCTAGTGTCTCTTTTTAACAGGTATAACAGATTATTTCTTACTCCATTTCTTAGGATCTTTCCTAGGTTTTCTCTTTTGCTCTTTTCCTTCATGGGAAAGAGACAGCTGTTGTCCCTTCCTCTGCATCTGACTGTATTCCTTTTTTCCTTCCTTTTCCCATTGTTAGTATTTGTCCTGTCCTGTCCCCTTCCTGCTTCTCTTCCCTTTTCTGGCTGGAGACAAATCAGTGTGTTCACATGTGCCGGAAGGATGGACATAAATGGAGTATTTTGGTGGCAGGAATATTGCTGCCTGCAGTCAGTTCTGCAGACAGAGGTGATCTGCCCTAGTTCACAGCCCTACTGATCTGTGTTCAGTACTGCTTTTGCAGTATTTTGGTCTCCTTTCTTGTTTCTTCCAAAGTCAACAGCTTTCAGTTTATTGAGCAATGTGCCAGTTGAGCCAGGTTCAGAGAAATTTGTAAAGATACTGTTTTTGTGATAGATTTGTATGTTCAATGGGATTTCTTTCCTGGACTGATGCACTCTTCACTTTGTGTAGGACATTGGCTGCATGGCCTCACAACTGCTGTTATTAGTAATCAGGCTTAACTTTGTTTGTGACTGGAAACTGATGAAAGCAATTCCATTTTTGACATCCTGATAGTAGAAAACATAGCTATAGGAATACTAAAATGTTAGTAGCAGTATTTTCTGGTTAGTAGCATAAGTTATGGTTTAGTTCTAATTTTTTTTACCAAACAAATTTAATAGCAAGTATGAAATGGGGTAATTAAAAAAAAGTTGTGTTTCTAGCAAATCTTTGATGCAACAGAAACAGGTGTAATTTGTGTACATATATTATTGCAAGTATTATATGGAACCTTGATGTGAAAGGGATGTTATCCAATCATCATGTGAATGTTTTTCAGCTAGTGTCTCAGTCAGGTCTCAAAACTTTGCACTTCACATGGTTTTAGTAACTGTAGACAGTTTAAGCAGGCAGTAATATTTGTTTTCAGGCAAGGGTTTTATTTCATGTACCTGTTGTATATAGGACAATAATATGCTTATTGTGTAGTTTTGCATCTAGGGATACAGAAATTAAATTTTAGGGTGAACAAAACTAGTGGTGGACAAGATGTCAGAAAGATGCTGTGTTTCATACCTATCTCAGTGCATTTACATAGTGGTACCCCCTAAATACATGTAGGCATTTTGGATAAGTGGATATAATGCCTTTGGGTGCATGATCCAGCAGCCAAGATGTAGAACTGTGTGAAAGCTGGACCAAGCTGCACAAGGTTGCAGTATCAGGTGAGAGCTTTGAAACTGCCTTCTGCTGTAAGAAATGTTCTTCCAGTTCAGTTTAAATTTTGTTTAACTTTACAGCTGGGTGTTGGTTACATCATTGTCATACTGAAATCTTCAGACTAATATCAGTTCTGTTTGGCTGGCAAAAGTAATTCTAAAACCAAACTGCTTATTGCAATTAATAAAGCTTGTTCTCATGGCTAAAATACCAACTCCAGTTTCTAAACTTTTCAGAGTAGTTCAGAAATAATAATTTTTAAAAAAAAGGCAACATGTATATATTTAAAACAGTGTTAATGTTTTTATTTTGTCTTTATATTCCTTTATGTTCTTCACTAGATGTCACTAGTAGATTTGGGAAAGAAACTTTTAGAAGCTGCACGAGCAGGTCAAGATGATGAAGTTCGCATTTTGATGGCAAATGGAGCACCTTTCACCACAGACTGGGTAATGACAACTTTTACAGTGGAGAAAGTAAATCTTACTTTTCTCACCTGAAGAAAGAAATACTATTCTTACAATTCAGCATTTATATAACAGTTTTTCTTGGAATTCTGCATTCATATCATCTAATGTCTAATTCAAAATTAAACATGTCTGTTTCTTCATATGACCTCCTACTGATTTTAGTAACAGACTGTGAATGAGCTCATTGTGGTCACTTTCAAGATGAACTTTGGAATGGTTAATGAGGAAAAGCAGCAATCATCCTCCTCATTACTGTGTTCATGCACTTAGTGTAGTAAGAGGTCTGAATTATGAAAACAGTCCTAACTACCTAATATGTGCAGCTGAGAGTTCCCTGACATAGGGGTACTGAGCTGTCTTTTGGGTGTGCTGATTTTTGAATAGGTTGTAGAGAGAGGTCAGGTACCCAAAATTCCTAGGGCGTTTACAAGCTCTTAAGAGCCTTAATCTGCTTAGTGACCTCACTTCCAAATTAACTCTGTTTTAAGCAGAAGGTTGGACTTAATTGACTTCCAAAGGTCCCTGTTCACCAACACTAAAAATGGGGTTAGACCCCTTGAAATGTTACAAAAAGGTAAAAAAAACAGAGTAAAAAGAAAGCAACAACAAACTTCCATCCCCCATTCATAATCTGTAAAAGCCTCAACATCTTCTCTTCTTGAGACTACAAGGGGAAATGGTTTTGAAATGGCAGCTTGACACCTGTGTTTGGTATCTTCAGAGTAAGAAGAAATGCTTTGTTCTGCCATCTGTTGGAGCTGCATGTTTTGTGTTCATTGCAGCTGGGAACATCTCCACTTCATCTAGCAGCACAGTATGGACATTACTCCACCACAGAAGTGTTGCTGCGGGCAGGTGTGAGTCGGGATGCCAGAACCAAAGTGGACAGAACTCCATTACATATGGCAGCATCAGAAGGCCATGCCAGCATAGTAGAAGTCTTACTTAAGGTACAAACTGCTGAAACAGGTCTGAAGAGGGGTTATTGCAATGGTTTATGATCAGATATTTGCAATTAATATGGTCATGAAGCCAGCATTCAAATTACATGAATAGTTAAACTGTGTGCATTGGGAGCTTTGTTTTCCAATTGGACTGTAATTTATTTTACATTAAAATCATCATTATTTCAGGTGAATTATTTACTGCTGTTTCAAAATAAGAATACTCCCTAATTTGATATTGTGTTTAGTAATAGATTTTAGAAGTAACATGTACTTTAGAGAATCTGTAATTCTTTTGGAATAAATAATGTATGTAGTAGATAGATTGAATTACTTAAAAAAAATATGTGATTGTAAGATAGCAGGGCATTCCTCATGGAGAAAAACAATTTAGGGCTTCATTCTGTGACCAGCATTATTTAATTGAGATATTTGTAATGACATAATTTATGCAATGATCTTGTTTGTAGCATGGTGCTGATGTCAATGCCAAGGACATGCTCAAAATGACTGCACTTCACTGGGCTACTGAACATCACCACCAAGAAGTTGTAGAACTCTTGATAAAGTATGGAGCAGATGTTCATGCTCAGAGTAAATTTTGCAAAACGGCATTAGATATTGCAGTAGACAATGGAAACGAAGACATTGCAGAAATATTACAGGTAACTTTTAATTGCTCATGTTAAGGGAACTTGCAGCAAAGTACTTGATTACCCATGCCATAAAATCAGCTTTTACTGTAGCAGCTGTGACACCATCTATTGATAATGCCACACTCCAGTCTAGTTCATTACATGAAATGAGATTAATGTTAGTAAACATTACTTGGTCAAAGAACATTTTCACCACCTACAAAGTCAAGGATAAGTATTCTTTATTTTCTTAAGTATGAGTGATGTAATACCCAGAGGTAGGTGGACTCCTTAAAATTGAGGTGTAAAAAAAAGACTCCATTCTCTGACAGTATATTCTGACTATCCCCTAGTATTCAGTTAGCTTTTTATATGGATAATAATTTCCTGGTTGGAGTTCAGACAGGACAGAAGAGATGCCAATTTTTCCAGAATTAGAAAAGCTAAGATTGAATTGTTGGAGAATTGATTTTAATAGATAATTCCATGGAAATGTGTGCTCCTTGTTCAATAGTGTTGTTAAAAGCAAAGTGATAAATCTTACTGAGGTAGAATGCAAAGCAAATGAAAAATATCCACTGTATGAATTAGGCCAGTGCATAAATCTGTAACCTCCCTGTGTCTTTAAATGTCTGAACTTCTGATGTGTTCCTTTAGCCTCCTGATTGCAGAAAGGGTGGAGTAAACAGAAGTTAGTGATAATTCATAGAAAGACACAAAGACTGCCACATCTATTTCGTAGCAATTGCAGAGCTGTCAGAGTAGCTTTCCATGACATGTATCTGCCCCAGCAGTCTTGGTTCTTCAGACTTCTCTTTCAGATAAGCGAGCTTGCATATCTGCAAAAGAACCTTGTCCTCATTGTTCACATAACTGGTAGGGAGAAGTAGTGGTGTGTTGTTAAACTCTTTCACTCTAACAGATTTTCTATCTTTAGATTTCAACCAAAAAAAAAGTTTCTTATGTACTTGGAGATAGGACACGATGTATGTGTATTGCAGGGGTGCAGTAATGGAACTCCTCCTTGTTTGTGTGAAGCATGCAAGAACTGTAGCTCTTGCACAAGCCAGCAGCTCCTTTGTAGCTGCAGTGGGGATGATGTTGTTCCCTTTGTGTCCCAGATTGCAATGCAGAACCAAATCAATACGAACCCCGAGAGTCCGGACACTGTGACGATACACGCAGCCACGCCGCAGTTCATCATCGGGCCTGGAGGGGTGGTCAACCTAACAGGTCTGGTATCTTCTGCACACCCATCCACTAGAACAGCTATTTAGGTGCCTAAAGGATAGCTGTGGGATTTTATACTTTCACTGATTTTCACCATTTAGTGGAAAGGTGTGAGGAAAAACAGTGGTAAGAAGAGTTGCCATATTCTTTGTCAGAGGTTTTTGTGTGTTGTAAATATGTACATACCTAAAACAACGATCTCCACAGGCATAAATGATCAGAAATTCTATTTGCTTAACAAACCTCACTTCAGAATAGCACTTTGGTTCAGCAGAATGCTGCTGAAAATGGAGTGTGTGCTAGAAGCTTCAGTGCAATAAAAATAGAAAAAAGGACTTTGCTGGTTTTAAATTTGTCAGCTATTTTTTTTTTCATCCTTCTAGATGAAACAGGAGTGTCTGCTGTACAGTTTGGAAATTCGTCAACCTCAGTATTAGCTACGTTGGCAGCTTTGGCAGAAGCATCAGCTCCACTGTCTAATTCTTCAGAAACACCAGGTTAGAAAGCTAAGTCATTTAAACTAATTTAATAAATTTAATGTACACAACTTCAAGTTTCTGTCAGCTCATGAAGTAGTGCAGTAAATAATGATTCTATGGGTATAGATAAGGAAGGAGAGCAAGGAAGGAATAATGACCATATTTCTGGGGCTATTTTTTCTTTTTATATAGAATAGCTTCTTTTTAGAGAAAATCTTCCCTTTTCTTTCAAGATTTGAAGAAGTTCTAGCCATGTTTCCTTCCAGAAATAAAATCCAACACTGAGTTTGACATTTGAAGATCAGAGCTGTTTGCCAGAGCACCTAGTATTGGCACTTCCAATTGAGACTTTTTTGTGACAGTGGCCTTTCTTACTGCTGAGCCTGTACTTGGAAGCCAAATCAAGTTCAATACAACACCACTTATTCATGTGGGAGTTGCTGTTTTGGTTTCCTGAATAAACACTCTGTGAATATTTAAGCAGTGTTATAGGACAGTAATCTCTAAACATAAAGATCTTCAGAAGACAATGTCTGCAATCATTATTTCAATTACAGAGTGATTTTTCTGTGTATGTTACATTGTAATTAACTTAAAAGATGAAAGCTTCAGAGTTTTATCTACCTTCTGTCATCTTGAACATCACAACACAGTCTATAGGGTTTTAATTTCATCTCTGCAGATAGAGAACATTCTAATGTCTGTTATTTAAATCAAAGGCTTTGCTTTTACCATGACAAATTGAAAATAAAATACAGAGCTAGTGTTCTTGAGTTTCCCTGATTGTGGTACCAGTGGTTTTGCTCTTTGTCTCAGTGTCCTGTTGGATGGTAGCACAGCACCCCATTTGCAGCAGACAGTGCAAGCTGGGCTATGTGCTGTAGCTCTGAATGCAGGCTTTCCTTGTCCTGCCTTGATTTGTAGAAGTGATACAGAACTGTGGGAGTTCACTGCTTCATACTCATTATTGAATCATGAATTTGAAATAGTTGAGCTGGAATTTTTCACTCTTACCTATAAAATTATATACATACAAGGTTTATTTTACTTCTTAAGGTTTATTTTACTTCTTAAGCTTTGTCTTTCTTCTTCGAAGGTGTGAAAGTGTCAGCTCTGCAGAACTTTTCCTTTAGTCTTGTTTCATACTTTGTATAAGAAATAAAGTTGTTTGAAGTACTCATGGGGTACAGACAAAACTTAAGATTCTCTAGGGGTCCTTTAGTCTTGAAGACCATTATATTAATAGAGAAATCTAAGCTGGGTCCTGACATACAGTTGCAAGGCATTGCTTCAAGGTAGTATTACAAGTTAATTTTTTTTCATTCTGCTATTAGTATAACTTAGTCCAGCTTGTGTACAATGCAGAAGTTCATTGTGTTGTTAAAAGCAGCTGCTGTTCTTGCTGACCTGTTAACACTGACCCCAATTTTGAGTGGGGTATATCAATATTATTGTATTAAGCAAGGATGGTGTTGCATGTAAATGTCAAAATGTGAGTGCTTTATGTTGGCCTGATAAAAGACTCTTATTTAAAATATAATACATAGTAAAGTCTATTACTGTGGGGGGGGTCAAGTTATCAGGGGGTCAAGTTATGAAAGCCATGGAATTAATGTTTCTTTAGTTGTACCAAAATGCATTTTAAGTTATAAAATTTCATTTATAAATTGACTTAATTCCTTTACTAATCTGTTGCTAGTTGTGGCCACAGAAGAAGTTGTGACTGCAGAATCTGTGGATGGGGCCATTCAGCAGGTGGTCAGTTCTGGAGGGCAGCAGGTTATTACCATAGTTACAGATGGCATTCAGCTGGGCAACCTGCATTCCATTCCAACCAGTGGCATAGGGCAGCCCATCATTGTGACCATGCCAGATGGGCAGCAAGGTGAGTGCACACTTGTGTGATTCCAGCTTGAGGAACTGTTTTAGCTGTAATAGTAACAGTAATAGTAATGACTTTTTAGGTGCAAATAGCTTGGACCATTTTGTGTACATCTATGAATTCTTGTATTAGAGAAGGCTCAGACATAAGCCTCTGTAATTCAGTGGGTTAACATGTCAGCTGAGCCTCTGCTTTAGGAGACAGAGTAGAAGAGTTACTAAACTGTGGAGGAAACATGGGACATTTAAGATTGCTTTGCCTTCAGTAAGTTTGATTTTTGCAAACTTGTTACAGAAACTAAATGATGGAGTAAAACAAAAACCTTCTTCTAATTCTTACACTGTTGCATTGCTGGAAGTACTGTGGAGAGGTGAGGCTTGGATTTAGAAATCTGATGCATGAAGCAACCTCTGCAAGTTCCATGGATGTCAGTACACTGGCACAACTGACCTGACAGATGTCAGCTCTTACATGCCTGAAGTTTAGAGCAGCACTGGCAGAACCAGTGAAGCCAGAGTGACACAACTTTTTTTTTGGGCCATATGTACTGCTAGTGTGCCAAGTCCTTTTTTGTGATGTGTATGCTTTGGGTGGTTTCTTTTAAAACCCTGACATTATTTAGATAAAAATGATCCCTTCTCTGGTTTCTTCATGAGGACTCCCAGTGTGAAGCTTGAAGAGTTGTACACAGGAGGCAAATAATTTGGTTCACAGGCTGCCTGAGCTAGTACACCTTGTTATCATTATGAGTGAGTGGCTGTAGATGGCAACTGAGGTGACAGTTACATTTATTTGTCTGATGGCTGTGTGAGGAATTAGAGTATGACTTTACTGAGAACCCCGATTTTCTTATTCATGGCTAATAACTACTGGATTTTTAGGTTACTTAATGTGTATTAAAACAAAAGCAAGATTTGTATTTAGCTTTTATTCAAGAAATATTATATAAATAGTCTGCTAACACAAGTTAGAGTTGACAGGCTGGTGACTCTGCTGCAGTTCTCTGCCGTGTCTGTTTACTCAGAAAAATGGCAGTGTTATTCCAGAGCTAATTACTGTAGGCTTTAATAATGAGGAATTTTAAAGTTCTTAAGTAGCATACAAGCAACTAAAGTTTTTAGTAGATTTTCACCGAGCTTATTGTGCACTTTATTATACAGATGTGTTTTCACAAGCAAAAGTATTTGTATTTTTGCTGTTAATAAAATTACTTAAATAATGCAAGTTTTATGTGGTGCAAATATTGTTGGAAATAAATGTATTTACACGTACAAATACATTTTCAGTGCTAACAGTTCCAGCAACAGACATTGCTGAAGAAACTGTAATAAGTGAAGAACCGCCAGTGAAGAGACAGTGCATTGAGATTGTTGAAAATCGTGTGGAGTCTGCAGAAATAGAAGTAAGGAGTATATTACGTGATCTGTGTTGAACAGTGCTCAGGACTGAGATCTGGTTATGGTTTTTGTATTGTTCAGGAGGTTAATTTCTGTGTCACCACAGAATGAAGTGTGTGAAATGTTCAACTTGTTCAGTCTCTCCTGTAACTGAAACTCATCTTTTACAAAGTTGTAAAAAGAAAATAGGAGGGCTGTTGGCTTGATTCTCTGGTCACGCATGTAAAAGTGACACTTGTTTAGGTATATGAGAACATTGTTTTTCTTGAAGATCACTAGCTGGTTTTTCAAACTGGGTGCTGATACGTTATCGAGTGACTTGACTCTTTCCGCTAGGAGTGAATGAGAGCGCTGTGCCCTCATCCTTCTGTTACAGCCACATGCTTCTGATTGTGAGATCATTTTTAGCAATGTTTCCTTTCCATTCATGGTATCTAGATAACTGTTGATGGAAGTGTGAAACAGTAAGATTCTGTGTTTGTTAATTTTTATCTGTGTGGTGTCCTCCACCTTTTTTTTAAATTCTGAAGCAGTTTGTTATTACACAACTTTGCACCATCTGTTTTTTTAAAAACTATGCTGCAAAAGACCTAAGAATGTTGAGAGCTCTTTCCTTTTTATATGACAAATGGTTCAGTTTAAAATTGTAGCTTTTTTTATATTAGCCACAAAAGGTCAACCATCTCATTCCTTTTCCGGTTACTTCTAACTGTGCTGACCAGTTTTGGTCAAAAGTTTATGAAAATTGCTGTCTGCTTTGACTAGACTGTAAGTTCTCATTTTGTCAACTCCATGATATTTCATTTATCCAAGGTTGTATTCTCCAACTTCTGTTCATATTATCAAATTGTGCCTAATTGAATACTTTTTGTTGTACAGTATGTGCTATATGTTATCCATGTCTAATAACAATAATTACCACCTCTCATCATTTACTTTCCATGTCCCTAAGTTGTTGCATCAAATACTTTTGGCCTTTGCAGCTTTGTGGTCATTACAGATTATCCTGACAGTTGAAATTTTCTTGCTGCATTTTTTAAAATGTATGACTGTTAAAATAAAAGCATTTCTTTTGTTCACACTTCTAAAAATCTGCCTGAATTATTCATAAAGGAAATTACATTTCCTTAAGCTTTTTAGTAATTCTGTTAAATTAATTTTTAAAAAATCCAGATTGGTTAAGGGATAAATTGATGTGTTCTTAAGTACAGATAATTGGTATAAAAATACCAATAATTCTTTTTAAGGGAATTACCAGTTTTATTTATATATGTTAAACATATTTCTTAAATATTGAAAGAAGTAGATTTACATGAGTTACTTGGTCTTTTACTTTTAAGTGGAAGTTTTGATGACTTTCTTGTCTCTGCTTGTACAACTGGAAATGCACATACAGACCTCTGCCTCTGTGTGAAGGCCTTGTGGAGGTTCACAGGGGTATACTGCTACTAAAGAAGTGCACACAAAATTGGTTCACTTAAAATTTCTTCATCACAGACAGTAGTAGGTATTTAAATTTGGAGTGGGACCCTTCCCCTCATTAAAACATTTTAAAAAATATTTTAGAATGTGGAAATACAGAAAATGTTTGTTTTCTTTGCCTCACTCTAATTCATTCCTTTATTTTATTATGAAGGTTGATTCAAGGCTGAATGCTTTTTTCAGCTGTTTTAAGTTCATAGTGTGTGAACAGTTTACTGTAGTTGTAAAGTTTTTGTAGTTGAAAATCCTCTCATCCATGTGAGGTGACAAACTTTCCTGTGAAAGTATTGTGGAACAACTAAAGCTGTAGTGGTGTTTTTAAATTTTCTATTCTGGGTCTGTTAAGTTAAAGCATTTCAGCTCATTTTGTAGATTGACAGCAGTTTTCCTAAGCAGTTTGATATTTTAAACATGGGATGGCAGCAAAAAAACCCTGTCACACAGATACTCTGTTTTTCATTTTCATGCATAATTCATTAACATATATTGATCTTTATTTTCATTCTTTAATTTGACTGTTTCTCCCATGTTCCATGTTTGAAAGATGACATGCATTAGAACCAGGACAATCATTTGATTAGACTAAAAAATAATCATAATTGTAAACTAATTATATTCATTGATTCATATCCTGTGTGTTTGTGTTGTTTAAAAGAGTGGTTGATTATTTTAGTTATAGGTATTCCTATTGTCAATGAAAAGTTACATGTATGAAGAAAATTCCCTGGTAAAATGGAAGATTTCTTTAGAGCACTGAGCATCCTCTAATTTGATTTTTGTCGGGGTAGATGATATAAAAGGACTCCAAATCTCTAGAACACTTCTGGTTGTGTTCTGAAGAATGTCCCAAGAACGCCTTCTGGGTTTGATTAAATTGGTAGATGAGATACAGTCCTCCTCCCTAGATGTCAAAGATAACTTCTAGATGTCAAAGACTTCTAGATGCCAAAGTTAGAGAGCCAGTTTTGACCATTGAGTCCACAGTAGATATGTGTGGCTCCTCCAGAAGCATTGGGCTCTTTCCCCTGCCAAGCCACACAGCCAACAATAGTTGGCTTCATGTCCTTAACTCATTCTGTTTGTTGGGACTGTGACAGTCTAAAAACTACACCTGTTAGCTGCTGGACTAATCCCTGTGCTTTGAATTGCTAGTCTGTCTGGTAGATACTGGTTTTATCTTCTGGCCATGCCTTGGAGGCTTGAGTTTTTTCTTCCATTTTTCTTACCCTTTCTGTAATGTGCTGTACTACTTTTGGATATGCAGCTCTAGTTCTCTCTTCTGTGGGAAATACTCTTAAAATGTTGTTCAAGAACCTCCCCACCCCCAAATGTTTGCAGGGTGCACATTCCACAGCAGTGATTCCATCCCCAGATGTTTGCAGGGTGCACACTCCACAGCAGTGATTCCATCCCCAAATGTTTGCAGGGTGCACACTCCACAGCAGTGATTCCATCCCCAGATGTTTGCAGGGTGCACACTCCACAGCAGTGATTCCATCCCCAGATGTTTGCACACATTCCATAGCAGGGATAGCCCCTTGCTGTTTGTAATGCACCACAGACTTCTTGCCAGTGAACTACCACTGGTTCCTATTTCTATGCAGGCCAGCAGATAGAGCAGCTTTGTTTCTTGACAGTATTAGGTTTTTGATGGTTTTTATAGGACCAATTAATGGGATAGATAATGTCCAGCTCAGTACTTCCCAGCCTTCAAAAAGGAAAGGCTGCTTTCCAGGTGTGGAAGGATCAACTGTTTTGACTAATTCACTGGGATTGTCTTGTAGCTCTGCTCACCAAGGCTCTAATTCATGAGGCAGTTTTACATAAGCTGTTGGTCCCCTCATACTACAGACAGAACTTTAGGCTGGGCTGGTGCTGGAGGATCATTGGTGTGTTTCACATCCTCTGGGGTGTAGGCTCTGCTGTTCATTTGGCATCTGCCATGTTAGCTGCTACATGAGCAGACCATCCTTAAAGTTGCCTTAAAAGCAGAATCCAAATTTTCAGAGATGGAAGCTGAACTTCCTTTTCAAATAAGTAGGCAAAATCAGATAAGCTCTCATTTTATCAGCATATACTCCAAATGAAGCAAACCCTAGCCTGCTGCCTTCAGCTCTTAAAATCCATTTGAAAATCAAGTTGCACTTACTGGAGTTTGTTCTGTGTCTAGCTAATCTCTTTATAACCTGTTAATATCATCTCCTTCACCTGTTGGTTTTGCTGTTAGCAGTGATCTGACCACCTGTGTCATTGTATTTAAGCACATTCAGCTGACATGTGACTGCTCAGTGTGACTGTGATAAGTACTGAGAACAGGAGCAAGCAGAAGGGAGGCAGAGTATTTTTCTATTTTTCTTACCATGAGAATATGTGAGTGAAGAAGAATTGGGATGCTGTTATCTGAGTGTGGGGGGCTGAAACTTCTGACAACTGTTAGAGGTATTAAATGGGAATGTGATATTGAACTGCTGGGAATATGGTGAAAAGAGTACTTGCTTTCACTGGACCTCAGTTTTTTGATAAGTTGTTTCTCTGGGAGATGGCTTGTTTCTCTGGCAACGTTCCTTACTGTTCCTACTTAACTACAGTGGAAAGAATGATTTTTTAAATCCAATACTACCTTACTCATAAAAGTATGATGCACTTCAATGAAATGGTATTTGATTGAATATTTGATCAAAACAAAACTATTTCCTAAGCAAATTGCTTTTTCAATTGGGCTCAGAGAAAATCAGACAAAATGACAGCCAGTACTTACATCACTGGAGATGGAAATGCATTCTCCTCAGTTCCTAAGGCAGCTTCAGAGGATGTGGCATTTCCCCTGTCATTTTGCTTGAAAACCATTTTATATCCACCCTCAGCAAACTTGTATGCAGGATTTTTGCAGCGACTTAAGAATTTCTTAACTAGCTGCTTTTAAAAGGAAAAAAAGCTTATCTGGCTAATTGCCTGTTAATTGATAAAGATACAGTGTCCTTGGGGATGTGGTTAGACCTCTGGATTGCAGAGTATCAATCCCTGTTTGGAAACAGTTAAGTTTATGCTTTGGTCAGTGGGCAGCTGACACTCTCCAGTGCAGATGGCTGATAGGTAACAGCTTGTCATTTTTACTGTTTGATTAGATATAAAACAGCAAGGGACAAGCCTGTTAGATTGAATGATTGGGGAAATGTTCATATATTCTGTTAGTATTTAATCACCACACTTCTGCTTTTTTCATTTAGCTCTTTTTTGGTGAAGATTTGCATGGTGCCTTTGCAGCTCAGTAGACTGGGGTTTGGTGTCTCCACAGCCCTCTGTGGGGAGTTGGCTGCTTGCTAATTGGGGTCTAATTTGCACAGCAGCATTCACACAGGTTTGCCCGAGTAAGAACTGAACTGAACAGCTTCTCCATGATACCCTAACACTTGAACTGCATGTAAAGGAAAAGTATTTGCCATTTTAGCTTGTATTTGATACTTGTTTGACAAAATATTGCTGGTTCTGTTTCTAATAGGAAAGAGAAACTCTTCAGAAACAGCTGGATGAGGCAAACAGAGAAGCACAAAAATATCGTCAGCAGCTTCTAAAGAAGGAACAAGAAGCAGAGGCCTATCGGCAGAAGTTAGAGGCAATGAACCGCCTCCAGACTAATAAAGAAGCTGTTTAATAAAAAATGAACACACTGCAAAGCCTGTTACTTTCAAAAATCTGCAGTACAATCTTGAACTGTACACTATATAGGTACAGCCATGGGATTTCATGATAGAGAAGATGCTACAAGTTGATAACTGGACTTAAGCCGTGAGCTCTGATTGATTTCTTGTAACATAAAAACTTTGAATTTAGAAATTGTGAAAAGTATTTAAAATTAAATACTGTAAATAGTTGGTTTTTTTACAGTTTCAAAATGAGTTGATAAATCTTTTTGAAGGGATCCAGAAACATGAAAAGCCAATGTTTTTGTGAAATTTTTGATTTTAGTATGAATCTAACTTCTGAAAAACAGAACAGTTTTAAGGGTGATGTTGATTTAAGCTGACAATTTGAAATTTGATTATGTGACAAAATTAATTAACAGTTATTTCTACATGATAACAGCTCAACTTCTCTGAATAAGACATTTCCAGGTGGAAATCTTTGTACAGCTTTAAGTAGTTGTCTCAGATTCTCTGAAAACCATTTTTGGTTTTTTTTTTTATTTTAGGTGGTGAAATTTTTATATTTAATTTCAGATATATCCAAGTAGATTTACATGTATATGAAGCTAATATTTTTTAAACTTTTCAGTTTGTACATATGCTGCATGTTTTTATAATTTCTACACATACATCTTGCATAGGTATTTTTCAGCAAAGATGAGAAAAATTATGAGAAAAATGTTTAGCCTATAGGTCATTTGAAGTAAGCTAGCAGCCAGTTTTATTGTGGATGGTATATTTCTTGGAAGAATGTAATTTGTAATTAAGGAGAACAAAAAAGTATCTTAATTTACATATTAAGAAGCAAAATTTGGTAGTGGAGGCGTCGAAACTTCACTTTGTGTGTCTTATGATTTTCCTGTACAAACATTTTAAAGTTCAGTAATGACTAGAAAGGAATGTCTCCACTGGAACACAAATAGTAGCTATTTTAGACTATCCCTGTTGGTCTCTCTTCCCCAATAGCCTTGAAATGACTTCAGTGATACATTTTTTAACGGACTTTTGCATTTTAATTACGCAATTGGACGAGTAATTTTTTTTTTATGTTGTAGTGATGCTCTTCCTAGCCAGCATCATTGTTCCTCACTGTGATACTGTGTTTGTGTGTGTCTGTGCAGTGATCTATTATGCTTAAAATTTATATGGCACGTTACATCTTCAGAGCATTGTAAAATCTTTTAAAGAACCCTTACTGCTCTGCCTGAGGCAGGTAAGTGAGTGTTATTGTCTCAGTTTTATAACTGGTTTAAGTGCAACATGAGGGAGTTAAATGACTTACCACCACGTGAACCTGTGGTCACCTGGGAATGGATCTCAGGAGTTCCTGGCTTCTAGTCCTGTGCTTAGACTGAGCTGCCTTAAGATTGTTCAGTGCTGTGTTACATTAAATTTTGAACTACTGTGCAGATCCGTTTTTTGTAAGATAAAACTCTTTGTGCTTTGCTTTGTTGTTCCATGTTCACTGCTTTTATGGAATTGTTTATATAAACTTAAGCAAAACGTCTGGTTTATCTATACTGTACACGGAAGAATTACCCTTAAAACTGTACTCTGGCCTACTTTTTCTATTTTACAATTAAATATCTTTTCCACATATATAAAGTGTAGAATCACTTCAATTGGTTTGTGTGTGAATGAGAAGGTCAAAGCTGTTCTGTATTAGACATCTGGAAAAACAAGAAAAAACAGTTTTGGGTATAAAATGGCTTTAAATGGTAGGAGGGAGGAATGGGAAAAGAATTGCATTGTACCGTACAAAACTTCATCAAACTGGTCAAAATCTGACTTGGGTTTATAGATTTGGCAGTTAGGAAAAATTCTAAATATATTTGTATTGTTATATGGTTGATAAATTTGATTTTGATTGGCAAATTCAAAGTAGAAATAATCAAAAGATAGAAATGGGAAATCTATGGTGATGAGTTTTAGAAGAATTATTTTCAAGGACATCATCATCATGTTAGTACTAGGACTTGAAGCAAATCTTGTGCAGTGGTTAACTGGAAATTGCTCTATTTTAGGGATTATTTCAGGAACTATCCATTATGTCATTAGCAGATTGAGGAACCAATTAACCAAGGGAAATGTGCTGCTTAGGCATTGCTGCAGTGAATTATGTTGTGATGAAAATAATGTTTGTGTCCTCACATCCCACAAATTTAACAACAGTGTAATCTCAGTGATTTCTTAATAATGATAAGAGTGGCACTGTTTGAGTGGTGATAGTGGCAACATCCAAGTGGAGAGTTTCCCACGGTTGTGACAGCAGATGTTGGCAGCAAACAATGAAATGAACCTTTTCTATTCATTCTGTTTCCTGTGAGCAAATATTCTATTCCTCATTGTCCATAACAAAACCCTTCTGAGTGCAGTGTAGCTATAACAAAACCTTATTTATCACCAGCAATATTTACCTTGCCTGTAATCCATTATCAGCTATTTTATTTTAGTTCTGAACAGGACCTGCTGTTTGTTCTCTTCTGCACAGAACAAGAGATGAACCCAATGAAGCCATCACCTGTGAGCTCAAGTGTAGGGTATATGAAATATTTCTTATATAGTTTAGCTCTGAAAACATTGTTAAAAATATTGTTCCTTATTTGCTGTTCCAAATTAAAAATATAAATGTAATTAGCTACCATCTGTTTCTTTGAAACATATTTCAAAGAAATTAATCACTTGTAATGAGCTAAAATCAGGATTTTTGAGAACTTTGGGCTCATTTGGATGCTTTGAGAACTTTGGTCCTGTGCTTGATGCCTGTCCCTTCTTAGCTTGTTCCCCTTTATGGGATCATTTACAGTGCAGCCAAGAGATGTTCATAAATTCCTATTAAGCACGTTGACAGCTTGTTACTTTTTTCCTAATGTTTCCAGAGCAATGTGAGATAAAACAAATATGCATATAGTAGTTTTTTGCACTTTTCTCAATGCCTTTTTATCAATTTGGGGTTTTTTATTTCAGTACATTAATCTGATGTGTGTGTGTCAGAGCATCTTTCTCATATCTATAAAACAGTTCCTTCTCAAGTATCTATTTGCAGCAGAAGCTAGAAAAGGTTCCACACTGTTCTGTAGAGAGTGTGTGTGAGAAAAATGTAAAAACTTTCTAGAACTATGTAAGTGGTTGTGCTGCATTACAGTACCTGGGGCAGAGAATCAAAGCTGCTCTGGCAGCCAGTTCTCTCCTGTGACAGAACAGCAAAACTGCTGGGAGGTATCAGACGCAGGGTCCAGCCTGGCATCCTGTCTCCAGCAGTGCCAGCCCCAGGCAGGAGCCTAAGGTATGGCAAGAATTTATTGTATGGGAAATAATTTCCTTTTCTGGTGCTTAATCCACAAGTCCTACCTCTTGTCTTTTCCCAGGGCTGCCTGGTGCAGTGTGGAGCAAGTGAAGATGGATAAGGATTCAACATTGAGTAGTGTCAAAGACTGTGCTGCCAGAGAGAGGTCAGAATGTGTTCTCAGGTCCTAAAACTGGAACAAGAGGCAATCTATAAGGCTGTTCTTTCAAACTGAGAATGATCCAAGTGGAGGACTTGGAGGAATTCTGGAGAGACAAGACTAAATCCCAGTGCTTATGCATATCATACAGGAGAAAGGAAAGCACAGAGAGGGAAGAGGTGCCTTTTCCCAGCTCAGTGGTCTAGGGTGATACCCTTGGAGGAACATCACCCTGATTAGTGTAACCTGCTCTGCTCTGATCTGAAGGGCAGGATATCCACAGAGGATCACTGCTACTTCACATTGTGGTTCTGGAGCTGGCAAGAGCTGTGGAGCCTTTCCTTTTAGCAGCATGGACTGACAGCATAAGGACTGAACACTTGTGGGGATGTAGGTATATCCTCTTTTTGGGGAAAAAAGAGTTCTCAAAACAATTCTTAGGAAAAGTTCCTGTCTCCCATATCAAATCTGTTCTGTGCCGGTACCTTGTTTTCATGGCTGCTGCTAGCACAATGGCTGGCATAACATCTTTTAGCTTTTATTTGGTTTTGAAAGCTCTTGAACTTTTTCTCTCCCACAAGTCTTATGTTAATATGCCTTGTATTCATGTCATGGATTACTGTGAGACTTCTGAAAAATTGATTGAAAATGGGAAAGTGCAGAGGCAGCTCCTCTTAGTGATACACTATCTTACACATCAAAAGAGCACAGATGAGAACATGAGAGATTGTAAAAACCCTCAGCTGGGAGGAGTTAGATAAACACTCACCAATGACCTGCCTGTTAAACCTTTTCCAGAATGTGTGAGTCTGAGAGATAAAGGGAGCTATAAAGGGGGAAGCAGCTGGCAGGGCACCAGACCAAACTGACCACAGCTCCCAAAAGGTTGTGGCCCAGGTTTGAAGAGGTGCATTCCTAAGGAATCAGTATGGAGCCTGAGGAGTACAGACAGAGAGGTGAGTGATCTGTGCCTCTTGCAAATAGGTAACGTCTGCTCATGGAGATCAGCTGTTGTGGGGCTGGGAGTGATACCCAAAATTAGGATGGGCTATATCCTCTTTAAATGTGCATTTGGCCTTGAGACTTGGATCTGCTGAGGCAAAAATGTGTCCCAGGGTTGAGTTTAAATTAATGGATTTAGTGTCTGAGGGTAACTTAGCCTTTTTGGTCTTACATCTAAGATGCTGTGGGAAAGCTGCAAAACTGTAATTCTGAATAAACTTGTGCTAAGGGGTTGTCCACAATAGCTTTTCACTGGCTTCACATCCTGAGACTCCAGACTTGGACAGTTCTGGAGATGGAGAGCCAACCTTGGTTCCAGGGCTGCGGGAGATTGCCTTAAAAAGTGGAGAAAGGGTGTGGAGCAATGCAGCTGATTTCAGAGGATACAAAAGCAGGTTTGCTATAATGACAAGGAAGTGTAGGACATGAAAATTTAATACCTGTGAAATGCAGTTTCAGTTAATTTGTAGGCAAGAAAATCTAACCTTTCAGTAACCAAACAAACTGTACTTGTACCATGATTGTGTTTTAAAGGTACATTTGAACTATTCAATAATGGCACTGAAAAGACCCTGTGAGGCTGTTTTAGAACATTATTGGATGGGACAAGTAGGGTGTAGGAGGGAGGAGCTGGGAGCAGTATTCCAATGCTATTGGAATCTCTGCCCAATACTAAGGACAGATTGTGTGGAGTGTCTGTACTGCTAGTTAGTGTTGCCATAACTGAAGCTGAAACCACTGGTTTGCCTCTTGCAGGGAAAGAGATGGTGGATTACATTTGCCAGTACCTGAGCAATGTGAGAGAGAGACGGGTGACTCCTGATGTACAGCCAGGTTACATGAGAGCCCAGCTGCCAGACTCTGCCCCAATGGACCCAGACAGCTGGGACAACATCTTTGGAGATATAGAGAAGATTATTATGCCAGGGGTAAGAAATAAAGTATAATCATAGCAGGAAAAAGCCATTACTACCTGGGGTGAACACCAAATCCTGGGAATGCACAACTTCTGCAGAACATTGTTCTAAATAAGTAAAGTACCCAAAAATGTAGCATTAATCTTGTAGATGTTATCTCCACAGTTGTGTTCCTAACAAATTTTAAGTGTTAAATTGTGAATGTATTTTTAAACTACTTTGTATATAACTCATATTTGCTTATAGGGAAACAAATTCAGCAGTATGAGAAAATCATTAGCTTCACAATGTCTCTACCTGCTGAACCATATAATCTTAATTTCAGAGATGTGGAAACTGGGCATAGCAAGGTGAAACAACTCTTGCCCAGCTTCATGCACATGCAAAGCTTGTTTCCTGTGCTTTGAATGTAAAAGTCTACTTCCTCTTGTACATAAATACTGCAGATTCTGCTAAGAGAATTCATATTACCAAATTGCATGTTTTATGTAAGAAGCTCTTTCAAAGCCCGTTCTCAAATTTTTTTGTAGATGTTTGCAGAAACTTGATCTGATGTAGGAGGGGCAATCAGATTACATGCACTTATGCTGATGTCCCACACACCAGCTCATTCAGGTGTATAGAAGGGTTTATATAGTTGTAAATTGCTGTGTGTGGCTAAAGGTAACTTGTTATTTGACAAAATGAGCAATGTTGTTGCAAGGATTCCCTTTATAAAGATAAATATTTTGATAAATTTTTCTGCCTCTGGTCTTTCAAACACGGCACAACATTCTTTCCTGTTCAGAATCTTTGTCTGCCTGTTTAATTCAGATAAATGCTTTTGCTGTTATTTGTAATTTATCTGTTAATAATGCAGTGTTATTATCTGCTAGTGCTGCTCCCCTGTTGATATTATCTCTGCAGCTCTCTGCTGCAGATATATAGTTGCATGTATTATGTTGCTGTAATCCTTTTCTCTCATTTTAAACAGATAGGAACCACTACACCTCATGGAAAGTTTTGTGACATTTTCAGACTGAACTTCTCCATAATTCTGTTCTAGGTAGTCCATTGGCAAAGTCCACACATGCATGCCTACTTTCCAGCTCTAACTTCCTGGCCTTCACTCCTTGGAGATATGTTGGCTGATGCAATTAACTGCTTGGGATTCACATGGGTAAATTTTTTAGGGCTATTTTAGACATTCCTCTCCTGTGTGTAACATGCAAGAGCAGGTCTTA